CAAATAATTCAAGAAAGAAAAATGAAGCGATAGTACTATACTACCTGGCTTTGCAGTGAACAATATTTACTTAGTTGTAATACAAGCAATGAATACTAATCTAACAATCATTTGGATAGCTACTACAAGAAAACAGAAAATAACAAGCATCCGTGGGGATGTAGAGAAACTGGAACATTTATGCACTATTGGTGAGACTGTAAAATAGTGCACTATGTTAAACAGTATGGAGGTTCCTCAAAAAATTAAAAATAGAACTACAATATGACCCAGCAATCCCACTTCTGGGTACATATTCAAAAGAATTGAAAGCAGGGTCTCAAAAGAGATATCTGCATACCCATATTCACAGCAGCATTATTCACAATAGCCAAGAAATGGAAGCAACTCAAATGTTCACTGAGGGAGGAATAAATACATAAAATGTGGTATATACATACAATGGAATATTATTCAGTCATAAGAAGGAAAGAAATTCTGGCGCAAGCTATACCACGGATGAACCTTGAGGACATTATGCTAAGTGAAATAAACCAGTCACAGAAAGACAAGCAACTGTATGACTCCACATTTATGAGGTATCTAAAGTAGTCAAATTCATAGAAACAGAAAGTAGAATGGTGGTTATCAGGGGCTTCTGCAGGATAAGTAGGGGAAGGCTAGTTATTTTTTAATGGGTAGAGTTTGAGATTTGTAAGATAAAAGAGTTCTAGAGATCTTTTTCACAACAATGTGAAAAAACGTACTACTGAACTGTATACTTAAAATGGCTAAGATGGTAAATTTTGTTACTTTTTTTTAATCACAATTTAAAAAAAAATAGATGAATGGGGTCATGTCAGAAGACAGGGGACCACATGAAGGAATTCTCATTGGTTAAATGTGGGACAAATTGAGCATCAAAAAGAATAATGACCTATAATTGATTAGAACATATTGATTTTTAATTCATGAGGTAATTGTGATAATAAAAACATTAAAATGTTTATACAAAAATGCTAGCTAATAATTATAGAAAAAATGATTTAGAAAATGAACATTTTCTACACAACTCTGTGTGATGGCTGATTAAGGCAAAGATCATCAATGAATGCTCAAACCATTAGGTGAACAATTGTTGTGGAACATGATATTCAAATGATACCAAGGCATCACCCCGCAGATGATTTACTAATTACAAAGGGGAAAATGTACCTTCCAATGGAAATGTGGCAGTTAACATTTTAACAAAGTGATCAAACCTAGCATGACTATTAGTAGAACAATCTGTCATTAGGTGCTGCTTCCTAATTTGATACAGGATGAATATACAATGGTACTTATGAATTATTCCAGCAAAAAATGCTTAATCTGAATCTCGCACCTCCTCCAGACCCAACTTCCAGTTTACAGGAAATACAGGGGATGGAAGAACAAGTTAAACACCACCACAAGGAAACAGTAAGACACAATTCAGAATATGGGACAATCTACAAAACGAGTGACCTAGATTAAGAGAGACTAAGGAGACAATAAGTAACACATGAACCTTGACTAGATCCTGTTTGAACAATTCACAAGAAGACATTTTTGGGAAAACTGAGGAAATTGGAATATAATTAGATAATAGATAATTTTAAGAAATTATGATTAAATATAAATTGCCAATAAACATGAGAAATGGTTAACCTAATTATTAAAACAAAATGTTAAAATTTACCTATCAAATTGGTGACAAAAATTAATACAATTTTTGGGGGGCAGGACAATCTGGAAACATGTAACAAAGTTTTAAAAATGTTTATATACTTTACCCAGCAATTCCACTTCTAGGCATTCATCCTACAGAAATAAGAGTTGTACATAAACATTTATGGACCAGAACGTTCACTGCAGCATTATTAATGAAAATGGACATAGCCTAATTATCCAAGATGAAGTAATAAATTATGATATTCTTATTAATTAAAAACCTTAATTTGAGGTCTTTAACATGGAAAGGTCCTTAATATACATTAACTAAATGGAAGAGAGTAGTTATTTTTTGTGATCTTAGAGGGCAGAACTAGGAACTACCACTAGAAACTACAAGTAAGCAGAGTTTGGCTCAGTGTAAGGACTAACGCTCAACAATGAGAATTTTCTAAAAAATGAATGGCCTGCTTTACGAGGTAATGAGGTTTGCACTATTAGAACTCTAAGGAAAAGCTGAATAGTCATTTGGCAAAGATACACAGAACAGACTGATATGTTAGGCGATTAATGAGAAGATCTTAATGGTCCTTTTCTACTCTAAGAACTTACAATCCCATATAAAGTTTTCTCTTAGGTGGGATGTCAGGAAGAAAGTGGTTGGTACTTCTTTGTAAATGCTATTAAAGACCCATGTGGCACTAAACCAAAAAGAGATTATATTAGAATGATGCAGTTGAAGGATGATTTACAATATTGTATTCTGTATTAAAAATATACACATTATTGATAAAATGAAAGATGATTAACTTAATGGAGAGGGTTCAAACTAAATTGACAGAAACTAATTTTGAACCTGCCCTCTATTAATTTCTGTGTCTAATAAGGAACCTGAAAAGTTACACTTTTCCAAGGTAAATAGCACTAAACATCTCAAAAAGACAGGAAGCACAATGCTCCTTCTTTTTGCTTCTGGCTGCCCTGTGAATTCATATATAAAGAGCGAGAGGAAGAATATGCCCACATTCCCCCTGCAATATGGTATAAAATATCTTTAAGTTTTGGATGTGTGAATACTGGGCAGTGGAAAGTGACACACAACTTAGTATCACACTGGGTTCCTGGAAGGCAGGAGCAAGGCCCATAACATTTTTAGAGTAATTGGTAATGTTGAAAATTCTTAGATGCCAAAAAGGAATCCCCTAAAAGATGCACTTTTATTATGGAAATTTTCAAATATACACAAAAGTAGGGGATAGTAAAATGAGCTTCCCGGTCCCTCAATACCCATCACTCAGCTTCATTAACAGTATTTTTGTAAGGCTGTTTTCTCTAATTTTCCAGGTTGGGATTTTTTGTTTTGTTTTGTTTTTAGATTTAAAAACAAACATCTGACATTAAAGTATTTCACCTATAAAAACGTCAGTATGAGAAGATACACTTTCTTGCTAATACTAAATAATTCAATAAATGTTAATTGCTATGGTTAGGTACTGTTCTATGCATTAAACTACTAACATGTATAATTTTCACATAAACTAAGCCTCATTATTATCTCCACTTTATAAATGAGAAAACCAATTTAGTACTGGCTCAAGGTCACAAGCCAGTAAGCAGTAGTGCTAGGATAAGAACCCAGAGTTAACTCTAGACCAGACTTTGTTCTCCCAACCACTTAAGTAGGCTGACTTTTCTCTATACTAGTTATTCTAGCTGTTCCTTATGGGATACAGATTGTTGTGATAAAATTGAAGAGGGACTCCTGAATGAGGAAGGGATTAGAAAAGATGCAGAAATATGAGCAGCTACTCAATGCTTATCTTGTGAAATTTTCTTTTCTAAATGTCCCAAATGAGAAAGGAAAATGTGACCAGGTATCATCTGTGTCAACTGCCTCGTATATAAAAGAAAGTAAGTCACCTTACACAGGGAAAGCAACGATCAAATCTCTTCCACAGAGGTTGAATATAGACAAACTTCTTTTAATTTGCCCCTCCAATGACAGCGGGGGTGGGAGCAGGGGGAGAGTGTGTCTAGTTCCACAAGACCTTTAAAATAGTTCAAGCAAAGAGATCTCACAAGCAGAGGCCTGAGCAATCAGTATGAGTAGCATCTGATTGCTTAATGAAATCTTTGACCAAAAAGAAAAAGAAAAAAGGACATGGAATAAAAACCTTCTGGCTGATATCTAAGAGTTCTAAACCCTTCACTCATAGCCTTATACAACAAAAAAGAAAAAAAATTACTAAATAATTCAAAATTTGTCAAAGAAAGGGGAGTTCTCCTTCAATCTTTGGCCAAAAATTCTTCTAAAACTCTCCCTACTGATTTACAATAGATCTTAGAGTAAGTGAACTAAATTATCTTTGTGGAGCCTGTCAAAGGCATCCTCCGTCCCCATCTTCCGCTCTGCCCAAACACAAACAGAAGGGCTCCTTCCCTGCTCCTACTGCACTTTATAACGTAATTCTACTAGAGCACTAGTCAATATTGCAGTGTAATTATCTTTTCCTCTCTGGACTATCAGTTCCCAGGGATCCAAGTCTCTACCTTACTCCTGCTTACGTTTCCAATCCCTAATCTTCAAACTGAGCACCACTGAAAGTTTTGCTGAATGAATAGAGACAGAAGCTAAAGATGACAGAATATGGAGTGATTTTTATGAGAACAAATTCTTTTATCAGTATTTTCTAACCTCTTTACCTTCAGTACAGCTCACGAGTTTTTCCCTTTGGGAGTTATCCCATCAGCCAATAGTTCAGGATGAATGATAACATGGTCTATAGTCTCCTGAGGGCTGGAGAAAGAATCTAGCCATTTTGGTTAGCAATAGCTTTTAATGAACTAGGGAGAACTCAGACTGAAGGATCTGGAAGGTAATCAAAGTCTTTCAAGAGCTTTTATTCAGATGCCAAGATGCAAGATGGCATTTGAAATGCCTACTTTTTACATTTAAATGCTGAAGGCAACAGGGAAAATCATCCCAAATGAAAAACTAATGATTACTAAGCAGTGCCTGGTCATCTACTTCTATTTTTCAGACAGAAAACATCCCAAGCTTTTGGTTATAGCCCTTACCATTCAGGAGACACACTTCATGTACTGGCATGAGTCTCCTTGGACCATCCCCCTAATATTGGCTACCCAGACCACTTTAAGGATTACCTGGATCAGGCAGTCCCTTTAAGTGAAAAATCTTTGGGTAAGGAAATTATCTTTCTCACCAACTTAAGATAATTCAAGACACTCTCCCAGTTTAAGCTATATTACACTGGGGGAAAAAGTCCCATTGCATCTTTTCACATGCTATTCTTTGGTTACCATGTTACCTTGGTTAGAATCCACTGGGTCTTCTATATGAGCGATTACATTCCTGAGATAACTTTGCTTCTGCTCTTCTAGATCTGACGGTGAAAACGTTGGAACATGAGTCCTTGAACAAAATAAAACCAGAAGGAGGAAAAACAATCATTAGAACCATGAGTATAGTGCTTCCTTTGACAGAGAATTCACATACTGTAGACAGGTCACAACAACTAACTCAGAGGCAAAAGAAAGTGTTAGTCATGTAGTAAGAAGTTGAAATCAAGTATGGAGTTGAGAGGAAAAAGAAGAAATAGATATATCCTCCTACTAACAAGGCATAGCAAAATGAAGACAATCTACTCCATATAGAAAGAAAGCATTTGTAGAGTAATTCAAGGTTAGTCAGGAAATAGCTAACTTCACAGAGCTTCAGAAAAACTGAATAAGGTAAAAACCAGAAAGCACCAGCTGGATCTGGCAATTAAAACATTGGTGACCTTGGCAATAACGATTTCTGGCCCTTGCTCATACTGATTGCACTGTACGGAGGAGTCTGTGGATGAGAAAGTTTATTACTGTTCCAAGCAGCCTGACTTGTGTACTTTGGTACAATTTTCATTGTAAGCAATTCACAAAATTCCCTCAAGTAAACAAAATATAAGGAAAAAAAACGCAAAAAACAAAAAACCCCAGAAAACTGGGATTGGAGGTGGTAGTCAAAGGGGACCTTAGCCTTATTTGTAATACTGAAAAAATTTTAAGCAGAATAAATTTAGTATCTATGTTATCAAAACTTTAAAAAAAAGTGTCATTGTAAGGAAGCTAATCTGTCTCAACCTAAAAAAACAGCTTTGTTAATTGAAAAGGCCCATAAAGAGACACTGCCATCTTCTGGCAACAAGAGAACCAACTGAAAAGGTGACCCAAATCTGCAACCTCTATAAAATTTGTTCCCTAAGGACAGTTATATGCAAGTTGGGAGAGATGACTAAATGATTTTTACATAGTTATGTTTAACATTTTTGTTAAAATTATTCTAACTTTCTATTGTATCTGTGACCGGGCTTCCACACACACAGGAAACAAAAATCTTACATTTATATAGTGGTTTCACTAATATTTTTTTTACTCTTCAAAATAACCTTGTGAGGCAGCAGAAAAGGCATCATCAGCCTCATTTTATTGACAAAGAAACAGAGGTCAGAGAATATTTGACTTGTTAATATCTGACAGTTATTGATAGTCCCAGAACTTCAAGTATGCTTACTCTTGGCTACAGTTTTTCCCCCACATTAAGGACAAACTTAGAAGAGGAAGAAAGCAACCAAAGAGAGCCAACAGAAACCAAAATATTTCACTATACCTTGTTTTGGCTTGTAGAACAGGAATGACTTTGCCTAGTCTTTTCTCACGGACTTTCAGCTTCCCAGAATCCTTGTCAGGAACATCCTGCTTCTTCTCAGAGCATAAGGAATAAAGAAGGAAAGATGACCCTTAGAAAACAACTGAAAACATTACTTTTGGAAATATTCTTGAACTAAAGTCTACATAGGCACATTCTTGAGCCTTACTGTGTACCAGGCACTAAGATGGGTGCTTTAAATGAAACAGTAACAGTAATCTCAAGGGCAGGGGACAAAAAAAGAAACCTTAAGTGGTATGGATTATTATACCTATTTGGCAGATTGGGAATCAGGCTCAAAGAGGTTAGGTAAACTGCCCAAGATTTTTCAGCTCTTCAGTGGCTGACTCAGAGCTGGTTTATCTAATATGTATAGCATGGCAACCAAAGATTGAGACTTAGGCCAAAACCCAAAGAAAGGAAAAATAGTAAAATCATCATCTTAGTTTATTCAGTGTTTAATAATATGTACCAGTTACTGTAAATATATTCATTAACCTTTACTATACTATATAGTGTAAAATATAAAGTAATATTTACTCCAATTTATAGATACAAAGAAATTGTAAGGAAACAGAGAGGCTAAATAAGTTGCCTAGGGTCACAGTGCTCGTCAGTATTCAAATTCCAATTTATCTGATACAAATCTCTGCTATACAGCTTCTGAATGAAAATATTTTATTCCTCTCTTCACTTTGAAAAATATACTTACTTTGTTTGATGAACTGGAAACAACTGGAAACCTCATTTCACAACTTGATTTATGTGATCCATTTCTCCATGATGACCCTGTATTAGAAGTCTCTGAATGGTCCAAGATTTGAGAGAATCTGAGAAGTGCAGGTTTCTTACTGTCAGACATATTTTTATTGGAGACAGTCTGTTGAAAGTTATTGTTTGAAGAAGGGAGTGGGGGCCTATCATAGGCAGAGTTACTGGAGCCGATCCCTTCAGATTCTGTGCAAAGTGTGCTCTCATTTGGGCTAAGCTCATCTTCACTCAACTCTTCTCCAAGGGAGGAGGGTTTTCCAATGTCTTTGGATGTATCAGTCTTGTCCTTATCAAGTACAGCATCACAAACTGTTGGATCAAATGGTGCAACAATTGTTATTTTTATAAGATTATTTTCTAGTGCAAAGCGTCTATTCAATGGTTTTGTAGGAGTTGGTCCATGACCAACTGATGTACTTAGTTGAGGTAGTTTGAAGAGGCCAGGGGTCTCAGCTACTGGTCCCAAGCTGTACAATGATTTTTCCTCTTGGGGAGCATCAAGTAGAATTTCATTCCTCCCTTCCTTCTCAACATTCCTGCTGTCATCTTTAAGCAACTCTCCTCCCCAAGACAAGTGCTCATTTGATAAGTCATCATCCTTTAAGAGCTCCTGAATCTCTTCCTCTGTGAAACTGAAATGGCCATCATCTTCTCCATCAGACAGCTCCAGCAGGGAGTCATCCAGTCCATCCTCATCCAAGGAACCCCAAGAAAATGGGGCATTGTCTTTAGGCAAGAGAGAGGTACCAGAAGATTGTTTAGAGGGCACTAGTGAGCACGTCATATCTGGAGAAACAAGAGGCAGTTTCACTCATGAATAGGAAATACACGCACACCAACGCCAATCTGCTCTAAAGAGTGGTAGTGTCTAAGTGTTTCAAATTTTTTGCACTGTGACTTGTAACATGAAAAACAGTTTTAAGATATTTAACCTTACCAGAATCATGGAAATATTCATCAGAACAATGGGATTTTTTTTTCCTATCAAAGTGGTAAAACTTAAAATGACACAATAATCTAGTTTGGTGAGAATATGAAAAACAAAGACCCTCACTAAAGATGATAAAGATGACTATCAGTGAGAGTATAAGTCAGCATAATAGTTTTGGAGAGTAATTTGGCAGTAGCATTTGACCCAGCAATCTTACTTCTGGAAATTTATCCTGCAGAAGTAATTATACAAAGGTACATGGATACATTTACAAGGATGTTCAAAGGAGAATTATTCAAAACATCCAAATATCAGAAACCACCTAAATGTCCATCACCAGATGGCTCCAGTAAAATCATGGTACATTGATGCTGTGGAACACTTTACAACTATTTAAAAACACAAAGAAGTAGATTTGTATATACTATCATGGAATAATATCTACAACATACAAACAAAAGAAATATATATGTAAAATGTAGACTTCCACAGTTTATAGTTTTTAAAAAACAAACATGTATTACTTTTGAAATTAAAAAAAACTTTAACCATACAAGAAGATAAAGAATTGTCTTCCATACTGTGTGGAGCTGCTGGCGTGATCTCTGCCTTTGCCACGAGACCAAATGGAAAAGGTTTCAGCTCCTGTTAGCTGTTCCTTTCGGGAGACTTGTCAAAATGATTGACTCCCACCTTCCTGCAGGCACAAAGAAAATTAGAGGATCTTCTCATCACTTTCAACTCTAATTACAAAGTCAACTGCATTATGCTTTAAGGTGTTCCATCTATTAATTTTGATCTTGATTTTTTTTTAAATACCAGAAAGTTGGATTTTGAGTCAAGAACATCAAAGAAAAATCTTTGGAGGAAAAATTATGCAACTAAGGAACTACTTTTGTTCCTCCCAATAATTTATACTTTCTTAAGAATATCATTTGCTCCAGTAAGATGAATACAGGCTTGGGAGTCCAAGGACCTGGGTTGTAGTCCTGGTTCTTGTCACTAACCAGCTGCAATAATTTGGGCAAGCCTCAACCATCTGTACTTGTTCCTCTTTTATAAAATGGGGAAGGGATGGAGAATGGAATTTAGGTGATAGTCTAAGATTCCATCAAGGTCTGAAAGTTATAATCATGACCATACATACAAAAGTCTTGTTTTCAACACATATATAAATACAAAGAACAGGTCTCAACCAATACAATACAAAATTGATGGTTGTTACAACCTGCAGGGGGGAGGGGAGTTCAGAGAGGACAAGGGGACACTCCAGTATTTTTACTTTTTTACTTGAATATCTGCATATTACTTGTATAATTAAAACCTAGTGCTTAGATAGCTGATGACGGACCTAATCTCTAATTATTTTCTAGATGGGAAAGGTGATAAAAAGTTGATACTCATATATCACATGTCAACATCTGAGAAGCTGTAAGAAACACTTAAACACTGAACTCAACAATTTGGAAAAATTTTTGTAGCCTTTTAACTGTGAATTTCCCCCCACCCCACTTCCTTCCATACCACACCCTGAATTTTAGCTTTGGTTCATGCATTCTTTCAAAAAACATTTTCTGAGCTACTATCATCATCACACAGCCCTGCATTAGATTTTATGTCTCTATACGTTTTCTAAGAAATAAAGATTTGGTTTCCACCCTCAAAGAATATATAATCTTCCCAGGGAAACAACACTAAAAGTTATGCACCAATATGAGAAAATACAAAATGGCATAGACAATAAAGTACTAGAGAAAGCGTTAGAAGGAAATGGCAAGGATTACAGAATTTTAGAATTAGAAGGGACCTAAGTAATGTATAGCATGGTGACTATAGTTAGCAAAACTGTATGTTTTATTTTAAAGTTGTTGAGAGACATCTTAAAAGTTCTCACCACTAGAAAAGAATTTCTAACTATGGAAGTGATGTATATTTATTAAACTTATTGTGGCAATCATTTTGCATCTTGTACATATATCAAATCATTATGCTGCACACTTTAAACTAATACAATGTTATATGGCAATTATACCTCAATAAAACTGGGGTGTGTAAGTTAAAAAAAAAAGATTTGTTCATCTTAGAAATGAGGTGGGACAGAAAGGGAAGAAATATTAAGTACTTATTATAAACCAGGCACTGTAAGATACGTTTTAGAACTCTAATCCCTCAATATAACTCTGTAACACAGATCTTATAAAAAAAAAAGTTTTCTGTTATATTTAACTTAATGCTGCTATGACTTTTTTCTTAAATCTTATTTTACCAATATTCCTGCAATTGTTGTGAGGGAGTTCTAGGCACTGAAGCAGGTTCCCTGTGAAGTGAAAATTAATTTCTCTGCCCAGTGACTAGTTTATTTTATAGAGTAAAGTTATTCTTTAGGCAACAGTAGAAAAAAATAAGTTTACTTCTGGAAAAGTTTTTTTCAAGTATGTGGTTGTCAAGCACAAGAATCACAGGCACTGGGATTAACAAGCCACATTTCTGAGAAGCTCTTTCTGAGCCACTTGGGCAACTATCCAACTCCTTCCAAAAGGTCTAGTCCAAACACTTGCTTGTTCAAATGAAGAGTTCAACAGATTTTTCACTCTTGGGAAACTAAAGTTCAGAGGTATTCAGTAACCTAACCAAGTATACAGAGCAGCTATGCTAGAAAAGGATCTAAACCAAAGTCTCATTTCAAAAGCAATGTTTTCTCTTCTATTTTTTCTACCACCCTTGTGACAGACTTGCCCAGGGTTGGTCAGCAAATGGCAGAGCCTTCTAAATTCAGTACACTCCCTAATATATTATGAAGGATGCAGACAACAAAGAACGCGAGAGTCCCTTAGGAAAAATAATTTAAGCCACTTTATAATGCACAGGCTTCTCCTGATTTCCCAGATGGAATGGAAGAACGAGAAGTACTCTTGAATGCGGCCAAATCTCACTGGAAGAAAAATATCATTACTTGCAAACTTTACTATGCAACAGGACCAATTTTCTTCACAACCACTGAAAGCATCAATTGCTATGCCATATGACATCCAGAGGCACAGAAGCTCTTCTGAGCTTCTCTCAAAGAAGGTTCCGACAGGTCTAGAAGCAAATCATGCAAAAAAATACCACGTACATAATTTTTAACTTGCACAAATCATTCTCTTCACAATCTTATTTCCTCATTAAAAAAAACTTTTTATAATAATTTAAAACATATACAAAAATAACATAATAGTATAATGAATCACCACATACCCACCATCTACCCCAACAACTATCAACCCACAGCTAATCTTGCCCCATCCACTGCCCCCTTTACCATATTATTCTGAAGCAAATCTCAGGCTTCACATCATTTCATCTGTAAATAACAAGAATTCCTTATCACAGAATATCCGGCTCAGATTTCCAGTTATTTTATAAATGTCATTTTTTTAAATTAAAAAACTCAATATCCAAATATCGTCCATACATTGCAATCGGTTGATATGTCTTGTGAGTATTTTAATCTATAGACTCCCCATCTTTTTTTCCCTTGCAATTTATTTGTTAAAGAAACTATAACATAAATTGTGTATGGATACATACATATTGCCATTAAATTATAAAAACATGCACAGGAATAAAACATCAAATTTAGGATGAAGTTGCTTGTGGTGGTGGGGAGGGAAGAGGAGTGGTAAAGGGGCATGAATAGCTTCAATTCTATCTGTAATGCTTTATTTCTTTAAAAAACACTAATAAGACCTAAAACAAAAATGGCAACATAAGATAAAGCTGGGTGGTAGGAATAACATTATTATGTTACTTCCTGTAATTTTATATGCTTGAAATATTTAATAATAAAAACATTTTAAAATTAAAAAGTCAGTAGGGAAAGATACAATGATTACACTCTGAAGTTTCAAATCTCCTCCCCTGTAAAATAAGGACCATCACAGTACCTACCTCATAAGGATGTTGCAAGAACTAAGTGCGATCATGAACATAAGGCACTTAGTATGCTACAGGCACAATGTAAAAGCTAAAAAAGTAGTGGCTATAGTTATTATTTTACCCCATCATCATCACCTTCCCGACATCTAAAGAGACAGTCTTAAGGGAAGCATAGGAATGGTAGGAAAAGAGAGCTAAACACATAGGAAACTTGCCCTGGTCCTTGCTTGTTGGAAAATTATCCAGTATGCTACAATCTCTTGTAATTTAACCCAGCATATTGTCAACCATCTTGTCACACTAAATTGATCGAGCACGTGGCTGTATGGACATCTGAAATATCAGGCAAATTCTATAGAGAGGCACTAGACTAAAATTCAGAGACTTCCGTAATTCACTTGAAGTCTCTGAATCTCAATACAGATGAGAACTTCTATCTGAAAAATGGGGGATTGTTACTCACTGTTAACTTCAAATAGATTATCATGAGGATCAAATGAGGGGATGTTTATGAAAACACTCTAAACCTAAAAGCCTTATACTAATGAAAGTTGGTATTTAATGAACTTGCAACAGAGAAAAAAAAAACCCTAAAACTTAAGTGCTGAAGTGAAGTTCCATGAGGCAGTCTTAGTACTTCTCTGCCATTCTACCATCATTTTCCTTTCTTGGCATTTGCTTTATAGTGATCTAATATATCAAGATCTCTTTATTCTTAAGGGAAAAATATTCTTCCCATCTCCCAAGTCTATCTCTTAATTCTTCTGCTCCCCACCCCTTCTGTGACCCTATTCTGTCCTTCCACGTTTCACTCACCTGTCCACCCCCTTCTTCACACTTCAGTTTACCACCCCCTCGCTCTGTTCTCTAACCTCCTGGTTGCAACCTCAGAAACTGGTTTCCTTTCTATTTTTATCATACCTAAGAAAACCTACTGCCTTAAAGCACAAAGCCTTATTTTATTTAGACACAACCCCATATCTTTCAGGGCTCTAAAACCAAGACCATTATGAAGTTGGATCTGACAGGTAAGGGCAAGGATTATTTCCAGAGACCTCCCCTTTGATTTCAAATCTTTCTTATATACCTGGGTGACACACAGCACCAAAGGCACTCAGGAGACTTGATCACTCCATAAAACGGGCGAACGTTTAAACAAAATCAAAGTGAACTGAAACTATCCGTAAGAATTCTGCAACTTCCTTTGAAGTAACTGTGAACATTGCAAGGCAGATAAACAACCCAGGGCGGGAAATCTCTGCTTTAAGTTACGTTTCACTTGGCTAAGAGTGCCAGGACTCTCCTCCCACATGGGTATAGAAACCAAATATTACTCAGCTACAGCAACAGGTTTCCTTTAAAAAAAAAAAGTTTTTGAAATGATTTAGACAGGTTTTGCTAAAGCCTGGAGCCTCTCACAAATCCACAAGAAACTGGAAATCAAGTTGGGACAGCCGGCGGGCAATTCAATCACTCCGTCTCCAGGACCCACCTTGAGGTGCCAATTGCCTGCCCTCCTATCCAGGAAGGAACTGGTGGCGCCTCCGGCTCTCGAGAGTTAGGAGGAAAGAGGGGAGGCCCAATCCACCCTTTGTGGGATACGGTTCGGCCTCTTCCAGCTCTCCCTTATAAGTACTACGGCCGCGGCACGCATCACCCTCGGGGCATGGCCTTCGTACTTCCCTCCTCCCGCTCCCCTCCTCCAAAAAAGATGGAGAATTCCCGCCTCCCCGCGGAAGGCGGGAGAAGCGCGGGGATGGCTCCCCACCCTTCAGCCAGCAGGGGCCAAAACGGCCCCCTGGCAGGCCTCACCCTTCGGATGGCCGCCCACCCCACACCTCCGCTGGACCAGGCCCCCGCCTTCCCCGTGAGCGGGTCAGCCTCTTCCTCCCCCGCCCGTAAGGCGCGGCCAGAAAGACCGCGATCTTCTGCCTGGCAACACCCTCCCCCGCCCTGGTGTAGGGGGCAGAGGCATCCCCCCACATCCACCTCCATCTCCACCCCCCAACTCCCACTGGGCTAGGAGCACTAACGTCGCTCCCCTCTTTCAGGTAACCAGACCGCCTCCCTTTGCCTCGGCAAGGTGAGGAGCATCTATCGCCTGCCGACGTGGAGGTGGGGGCAGAGACACTCCCCCCTCCCGCCGCCATCACCTCAGTAACGAAAAGGAGCCCTTCTCCCAGCAGGGCGAGGGCCTCTCAACCCCTCAGCGGGGCCAACGGCGTGCGCGACCCTCTGGAAAAGCAACAGGCGGCCCCATGCCCTTCCCAGCCGAGGAACGCCGACCCCCTCGTCCCTCCGGCTATTCACCTCCAGAAGCCGGGCCGAAGCTTAGGTGAACAGCTGCGCCTCACTCCGCCCCCTGCGCCATTTTAGAGCCCCCTCCCCGACTTTCTCCACCCCGAGGCAGCCGGGCAATCGCCAGGGGGAGGGCAAACAGGCAGTGATTGGCAGGAAGCCGCCCCGCCTCTCGGAGGGCTGCGCCCCACGCAGGCGCCACAACCCCGCCCTCCGCACCGCCTACCCCACCTACTGGCTCCACCCCTTTTCATCTCATCGACCCGCTCCACTCTCCGCTGCTCCTGACTCTTTTCTGGCCTCTGGTAGGAGGAGGAGGGTCCAGGCCGAGCAAGCCGAGCGACGAGCTCAGCTGATGCAACCTAACCTGCCCCGCGTGACAGTTCCGGGCAGGCGGCGGCGGCGGCGGCTACGGTGACCGAGAAAGGGAAGGGGGTGCCGTGCTGAGCGAGGGAGTCGGGGGCGACAGAGCCATGGGGGACGCTCTGAGCCCTGAAGAGAAGCTGCACCTTATCACCCGGAACCTGCAGGTCGGACCTCGGGGTTGGAAGTGAGCCATTGGGGACAGGGGCCCAAGGTTCAGTGATCCTGAGCCCCGCTACGGGGTCGTAAGTGTGTGGGGTCGGGGACTCCGCACCGAGGCATCTCTGAGAGATTGTAGTCCTCACTGCTGGTCAGTCAGTACAGATGCGATTATCTGGATACCACAGAAATCACAGTGGGCTCACCTGTGTGTAGTTACTTGTGTCAAGCCAGGATTTGAATCCAGGGCTCCCACCCTACCTACCCTATTATGTGCCAGACGCGGTGCTGGGGGCTGGGGACACGTCAGGGCCATGCCCTCCCGGAGCTTGTCTGGAGGAAATCAAACGTTTAAAATGAGCCATAACCCAAACACTTAATTACAGTCGAAACAAGTGCTGGAAGGTACTTTACGTGGAGATCTTTCTTGAAAGGAGAGGGCTGAGGGGGAGTGTCAGGGAAGGCTGAGGAAGTGACCTCTAAACTGCGCCCAAAAGGATGCAGATCACCTCTTCACTCTACATATGTTCCTGCTGTTTCCCAGAACTGCAGGAGTAGAAGTTAACCGGAATAGTCAGGGGTAAAAACATGTCAGGTAGATCAAGACCCAGAAGGGAGAAAGAACCCTGAGGTTCAGAGAGAAGGTTAACTTGGCTGGAGTAGAGGAAGCAAAATGAAGATCAAGATTTAATAAGTATTTATATTGCTCATTCCCTTGCCTCTTTCAGGCCTCTATTGTTCTCTTATCAGAAAGGCCTTTCCTGACCGCTTTATTTAAATAACAAACCCCTGCCCCCAGAACTGTCCCATCCCTTACTCTGCCTTTGTTGTGTCTCCGTGGAACTTATCACCATCTGACATACTATATATTTTATGTGTTTGTTTAGGAGGCAGGGACCAGGTCATGAGGGCTTTGTAGGCTATGTTTAAAACTGGGGGGTATTCTAAGAGCAGTGACACATGGATTGGGCCACAGCTTGTTTTTCTCTTTTTATGAGATACAGTTCACATCCTATAAAATCTACTCTTTTGAAGTGTGCGATTCAGTGGGTTTTGGTGTAGTTGTACCATTGTGCAATTATCACCATTATTTAATTCTGGAACATTTTCATCATCAAAAATAACCCATACCCCTTAGCAATCACTGCCCATTCCTCCTTTCCCCCTAGCCCTAGGGAAACACTAATCTGCTTCCTGTCTCAAATTTGCATATTCTGGGTATTTTATATAAATGGAATCATATTATACATGGCCTTTTGTGTCTGGCTTCTTTCACTTGGTATAATTTTTTCGGATTTTATCCATGTTGTTGCACTTATCAGAACTGTGTTCCTTATTATGGCTGAATAATATTCCATTATAAGGATATACCATATTTTGTTTCTCTGTTTGTCAGTTGATGGACATTTGGGGTATTTTCACTCATAACTTGATCTTAACCAGAGATTCTTGCATGCTTGCCCTTAGATCCTTTGTTTCCTAGCCTCTCTCCATAAAACAGTGGTGGCTGGGGACAAATGACACACAAAGCTAGGGGCATTGACTTACTTAGGTCTTAAAAGGTAAGTGATAAGACCTTTCCTTGGGTAATGAAAAGTCTCCAAGTGTCCAAATAGTCAGAGGCTCAAAGGATGCAGGATTAGTCTCCAGCTGGCTTGAAACAGAATTCTAACGAGTCCTGCTAATAGGTGATGATTCAGATCAGCAAAACAATTTTTGTCTTTCATGGCTTCCAGCAGCCTCCCCAAACCATTACTTGAAGAAACACTAAAATCTTAGCAGCAGCATACTGGCCTATTAGGATTTTTCTAATACTGTCTTAGGGCAAAAGGAAACTACTAAAGTATTTAAATATGTTTGGATTTTAAAGACCTCTCCGGCTTTCTTTTGGGACATGGGACAAGAGTAGATATGGGAGACCTGTTAAGAGGCTATTAACAGTAGTAATCTTAGTGTAATAGAATGGTGGCCAAGACTAGTTGGTGTAGAGGTAGAGAGAAGTAGGAGGACTTAAGAGCTGTTTCAGAGTAACTTATGCAACTCAGTGAATGATAGTACCATGTACTTCACTAGGTGTGAAACTATAATTGAAAAAGATGGTTGGGAGTGAGATAGGAAGATGAAAGTATCAGTTTAATTTTGAACATGTCAAGTTTGAATTAACTGGGTTGATAAAAAGTACTTGTTTTATATATGGGTATGAGCAGGAGATTTGGTAGTTACTAGATCATAAGTAGTAACTGAGCACAGAAGATCAGTTAGGGAGAACAGAGAATAAGAAGAGAAGAGATAGGACCCCAAAGATTGTTAGTATTTAATGATTAGGAAGGAAAACAGCTGCAAAGAAATCTTAGACCGAACAACCAGAGAAGTAGGAGGAAAACTAAGATGTAAAATACAGGAGAACAAAAGAGGAGATTGTTTCAGAGGGGAGCAAAGACTAAAAAGTATTCATTGAATTTAGCAACATGGAGGCCATCTTAGCAAGAGCATTTTCAGTGGTGTGCTGCTGTATGGAGTTCAAACTAGAATGGGAAATAAGGAATGGAGACCAGAAGAAGAGACACCTTTCAAGAAGTTGGCCATGAAAGGAGAGAGTGTGATTTAGAGATAGCTGGAGAGGAAGATGCGGTTGGGGACATGGTTCCATTAGGTTCCATTGCCCTAATGTCAGTGTCATTCCCCTGGAATGGTACTAGCAATAGCACCGGCTTAGGTTGGCTCTCACTTAGCACTGAGAGCCTGGCCGGACCTCCCTGCTGGCTCTGAGCCTGGACCCTCAGTGATACCTACCTTTGTTTTCCTTGTCACAGGGTAAAGGATGAGCAAAGTGGGGCACCGGCATTAAACCAGCTCTTCTGCTTCCACAACAGGAGGTTCTCGGGGAAGAGAAGCTGAAGGAGATACTGAAGGAGCGGGAGCTTAAAGTTTACTGGGGGACAGCAACCACAGGCAAGCCACATGTGGCTTACTTCGTGCCCATGTCTAAGATCGCGGACTTCCTGAAAGCAGGATGTGAGGTAAGAACTAACATTATAAACCAAGCAGTTGCCTTGCAGAAGGGCCAAAAGAGAAACTTTACTAGACTTGTCCCACTTGTTTGGAGGTACTTGGACAAATTCACATTTTGGTGGCCCCTTATCTCGTATGACCAGGTAACGGTTCTGTTTGCGGACCTTCACGCATATCTGGATAACATGAAAGCCCCATGGGAACTTTTAGAACTCCGAACCAGCTACTATGAGAATGTGATCAAGGCAATGCTGGAGAGCATTGGTGTGCCCCTGGAGAAGCTCAAGTTCATCAAAGGCACTGATTACCAGCTCAGCAAGTAAGTGCTTGATCATCCGCCCGCCTCATGGGTAGCTAATTACTGGCCTGGGTATTCAAATCTGGGTTAGAAGCTATTGGGCTCTACCTGTTAAGAACCATTAAAAAATTTATACCCTTTGTCCTTTTAATTCATCCATCAAAAGTCTACTGACTAGTAAATGCCTAGGTACTATTTTATTTGCTGGAAATGTGAGTGTAACCATAGCAAAGTCTTTGGCCATGCAAACCTCAGAGCATATATATGGAAGAGTGGTGAACTGCTCAACCTCCCATTCTCCCTCCAACCTCAGCAAATAATGATAAAAGAAATGTGAAAGAAAAATATCTGAAATATTTCTTACCTCCCCCACAATTTTTACTGCTTCTTATCATCAGTTTTATTCATATTTGTAATGTTAGCTATATAAAATTTTGTGTCTTAGTCTTTTAGCCTACAATTTCCTAAGTAATTCCCCTCTGCTGCCTCAGTTTCCACATTTAAAAAAATTTTTAACCTGACAGATAAGCCATGTATCACCCTAATGATGACTTTTGCATTTAAACCCTTAGAACAACTTTTAAGGTAAATATTGTTTTAGCCTATTTCACAGATAAGGAAATAGTTTCAGATCTAACTCTCCCAAGTTTGTGCAGCTAGTAAGTAGAAGTGCCATGATGTGAACCCAGATCTCTCCCTTACAAGCTGATTTCTCTTTTTACTTCATCTAACATAATTTTCCTACTGTTAAACACTGAGAGTTTTAAATAAAGTATATACCTCAGAGATATTGTGGGTTCAGTTCTAGACCACCTCAATAAAGCAAATGTCATAGTAAAGTGAGTCACACAAATATTTTGATTCCCCAGTGTGTATAAAAGTTATGTTTACACTATACTGTAGTCTGTTAAGTGTACAATAGCATTGTGTCTAAAGAAAAAATGTACATGCTTTAATTTAAGAATACTTTGTTATTAAAAATGCTAATCATCTGAGCCTTCAGCAAGTCATAATCTTTTTGCTGGTGGAGGATCTTGCCTGGATTTTCACAGCTGCCGACTGATCAGGATGGTGGTTGCTGAAGGCTGGGGTGGCCGTGGCAGTTTCTTAAAATAAGACAACAACGAAGTTTGCTACATCAATTGACTCTTTCACAAGCGATTTCTCTGCAGCTTGCAATGCCTTTTGATGGCATTTTACCCGCAGTAGAACTTCCTTCAGAACTGGAGTCAGTCGTCTCAAACCCTGCCACTACTTTATCAACTAAGTTTATGTAATATTCTAAATCCTTTGTTGTCATTTCAATAATCTTCACAGCATCTTCACGAGGAGTGGTTTCCATCTAAGAAACCGTCTTCTTTGCTCATCCATAAAAAGAAACTCTTCATCCACTGAAGTTTTATCATGAGATTGCAGCAGTTCGGGCTCCATTTCTAATTCTAGTTCTCCTGCTATTTCCACCACATGTGCAGTTGCTTCCTGCGCTGAAATGTTGAGCCTCTCAAAGTCATCTGTGAGGGTTGGGAGCGATTTCTTCCAAACGCCTATTAATGTTGGTATTTTGACCCCTTCTCATGAATCACAAATGTTTTTAATGGCATCTCGAATGGTGAATCCTTTCCAGAAAGTTTTCAATTTACTTTTCCCAGATCCATCAGAGGAATAACTATCTAAGGCAGCTCTAGTCTTACAAAATGTATTTCATAAATAATGAGACTTGAAAGTCGAAATTACTCTTTGATCCATGGGCTGCAGAGTGGATATTGTGTTAGCAGGCATGAAAACAACATTAATTTCATTGTACATTTCCATCAGAGCTCTTGGGTGACCAGGTGCATTGTCAATGAGCAGTAATGTTTTGAAAAGAATCTTTTTTTCTGAGCAGTAAGTCTCAATAATGGGTTTAAAATATTCGGTAAACCATGTTATAAACAGATGTGCTGTCATCCCAGCTTTGTTGTTCCATTTATAGAGCACAGGCAAAGTAGATTTAGCCTAATTCTTTTTTTTCCCCCACTTTGTTTTGGGGGGGCAGGAATTAGATTTGTTTGTTTATTTATTTATTAAAGGAAGTACTGGGGATTGAACCCAGGACCTTGTGCATGCTAAGCACACAGTCTATCACTGAGCTATACCCTCCCCACAATTTAGCATAATTCTCAAGGGCCCTAGGATTTTTGGAGTGGTGAATGAGCACTGGCTTCAACTTAAAGTTACGAGCTGTATTTGCCCATAACAAGAGAGTTAGCCTGTCCTTGAAGCTTTGAAGCCAGGCACTCTCTAGCTATGAAAGTCCCAGATGGCATCTTCTTCCAATAGAAGGCAGTTTCATCTCCACTGAAAATCTGGTGTTTAGTGTAGCCACCACCTTCATGAATTATCTTAACTAAATCTTCTGGATGACTTGCTGCAGCTTCTACAACAGCACTTGCTTCTTCATCTTGTACTTTTATATTATGGAGACGGCTTCTTTCCTTAAACCTCATGAAATCTGAAGCTAGCAGACCCCTATTGATGATACTATTGCAAAAAATTACAATTTGCCGAAGGCTCAGATGATGGTTAGCTTTTTTTTAGCAATCAAGTATTTTAAATTAATGTATATACTTTTTTTAGACATAATGCTGTTGTAAATTTAATAGACTGCAGTACAGTATAAATATAACTTGTACATGCCCTGGGAAACCAAAAAACTCGTGTGACTCACTCTATTGTGATATTTACTTACTTGCGGTTGTCTGGAACTGAACCCACAATATCCCCAAGGTATGCCTGTAACACGAAAGATCACTGATCATAGATTACTATATTATAATAATGTTATAATAATAAATATAATAATGAAAAAGTTTGAAATATTGAGATAATTACCAAAATGTGACACAGACACACAAAATGAACAAATGCGGTTAGAAAAATTGTGCCAATAGACTTGCTCAATGCAAAGTTGCCATAAATCTTCAATTTGTAGCAAACAGTGTCTGTAAAGTGCAATAAAACGAGGTATGCGTGTACTAAGAAATTCACCTAAAATGCAGCCCAGAGAGATGGACAAAAAAAACTGTAAGTGGTTGAGATATGGTTAAGGACTTTTGTTTCCAGCAATCTGACAGACTAGATACTCTGACCGAACTTCCTGCTGAAAAGCATTTTAAAAATGCTGGATAAAATATTTTTTAAGCTTCCTAAGTGCCTCAGGTAAATCAACTGATAAATTAGTCAAGAATACTCAGTGGCCAGAAACGAAGTGAAAGTAGGAATACAAAGAAATTTGTATTTCAGTTGATCGAAGATGTCTTTAAAAACACTGCTAATTAATCTATAACATGCCTTTATTTAAAAGAGCCGTCTAGATTTCAGAGACGCTAAATGTTTTTTTTAAAATATGTCCTAGAATCTGTAAAATATGATAAATAGAACACTGAAGACTGCATGTACCATGAGGGCCTCATTGAATTGTGTGTGGTTGAACTTCGGTTTTTGTGGCCTCACAGCTCACAATGGGGAAGAAAATAAAGAAAGAAAGAAAAAGGTAAAAACTAGAATACTAGGCCAGGAGGTCTAATATTTGAGTAATAAGTGTTCCAGAAAAGAGAACAAAGTACTAGGGAAGGAATCATCAATGAAATACTAATGTAAGGACAACTAAAGGACATGAGTTTCCAGATTGAAAGGGTCCATTGAGTGCCTAATACAATGAATGAAAATAAACCCACGTTAAAGTGCATTCTCTTGGAAGTTCAAAGCACTAGGGACAAAAAGAAAGTATTATCCATACTTCCAAAGGAACAAAAGAAGTCATATACAAAATGTCAGGAATTGGAATGGTTTTGCATTTCTCCAAAGGAACATTGAAAGCCAAAAAACGAAGCAAAGCCTTTAAAATTCTGAAGGAAAAGAATTTCCAGCCTAAAAACCTTTACCCACCCAAACTGCCATTCGAGTGTAGAAGTAAACTACCTGAAAATATCTATCAAAAAAAATTATTTTCATGTTTTTCTTGGCCATCTGTGTTTCCTCTTCTGTCAATCAAGTGTCTATGCAAGTGTTTTGGCCCATTTTTTAACTTTTTTTTTTTTTTTAGGAGTTCCTTAAGTGTTCTGGATACCAAGTCTTATGCCATTAATATAGCATGGGGAAAGAGGATTAACCACTGGAACAGAATAGAAAGTTCAGAAATAGATCCTCACAGATAATGGAAGCTTGATTTATGACAGGGCTGGCATTGCAGGTCAGCAGAGAAAGAATAAACTTTTTAAGAAAAAGTAATGCAGAGACAGTTGGTTATCCACATAGGGAAAAAAATGATCTCTTTATGCAAGTGGATTAAAGATTTAATTGTAAAGGCCAAACTATAAAACATTTAAAAGCCAATATATAAGACGGTCTTATGATCGCAGGTCAGGGAAAATTAAACAAGATACGCCAAAAGCACAAATCACAGGAAAAGACTGATGAATTCAACTTCGTTAAAATTAAGACCTTCGGTACATCGAAAGTAAGATAAAGTAAAAAGACAAGCCACCAACTGGGTGAAGATATTTATAACACGTATAACTGGCAAAGAGATAATGCCCAGTATTATATGTCAAAAACTACAAAAGCAATTGTCAAAAAAATGAATCAGTCCAGTAGGAAAAACTTAAACAGGCATTTCACAGAAGAAACCAAATGACTAGTTCGTTTATGGAAAAATGCTTACCCTCCTTGGTTATTATTTTTTTAAATGTAGATTAAAACTGCAGTAAGAAACCACTCATGCTTGCCAAATTGGCAAAATTTAAAATAATAACAATATTAAGTAATAAAACTGATTTTAAAAACCCACTTTGGAAAATAGTTTGATGTTATGTTGAACTGAAGTTCAAGGTGCAAATCTCCTATGATCAGAAATTCTACTCCTGAGCATATATAAAGGAACTTGCACATGTATACCAGGATACACATGTAAGAATATTTATAACACATTGTTTAGAGATACAACATAGTATAAAACTAGAAAGAAACACAGAAGTTCAGGCTCGTGGTTACTCTGGAGAAGGAGGAAGTGGGATAGGGTCGTGGAGGGTTGCATGGGAGCATCAGAAGTAATTAGGTCCCTTTTCTTAAACTGAGTGGTGGCTACTCTATTCTTAATATTGTTCTTTATTCCTTACATGTGTTTACGTTTAAAAAAAAAACAAAAGACATTAAAGATACATTGAGAAATTCTGCTGTTTATTTAATAGGCATTCCAGAAGAGAATGGAGGGGAATGGCACAGAAGCTGTATTTCAAGAGATAAGCAAAGAAATAGATTAATTAAAGCCATCTTAAGAAAGGAAAAATAAAAATAAAGTAGTATTTTCAATGAGAGGGTGGACCACTCACATGTTAGAAACTACCAGGCAGTGTTCTTTTTGAATGTCTTAAGACTGGGAGAGTGAAGTAATAACGCGCTTTAGGATTAGACTGAGGCCTGGGCCCAGCCTTACAGCTGTCCGCTCTTGTTTCCCCCTCAGAGAGTACACACTAGATGTGTATCGCCTCTCCTCCGTGGTCACACAGCACGATGCCAAGAAGGCTGGAGCTGAGGTGGTAAAGCAGGTGGAGCACCCGCTGCTGAGTGGCCTGCTGTACCCGGGGCTGCAGGTAACATAGGAGGGATGGAGTTGCCCAGTGACTTTTTCTGCACTGTTTCTCACTACTGGTCGCAAACCTGTCTCTCAGCCCCAGTTAGACTGACATACGGGCTGCTCCTTCATCATGCTGTCGGCCTGTCTTCCTTCCCCACACCCCTCTCCCCAGACTCCCTGGACCACTGTTTGACTTCTTCAGCTGTAAGTCTTCGCCTACCTGTCTGTCCTTTAAAACACTGCTAGGGGGATGGTATAGCTCAGTGGTAGAGCATTTGCTTAGCATGAACAAGGTCCTGGGTTCAATCCCCACCACCTCTATTTTAAAATCAATCAATCAATCAATAAATCAATAAATCAATAAATCTAATTACTACCCCCCGCCCAAAAACTTTTTCTTTAAAAACACTGCTCATCTCACACATCTTCTTCATGTTAATTGTAATCCCTTAATTGAAGAACGTTAATTTCAGAGTGATGGGTAAAAGTCAATTTTAGGCATGATCCTATTTTCCATTAAGCAAAACAAACACATCGTACTTCTTGTGTGTGTGTATTTGTATGAGCATGGAGAGAGTGTGGAAAAATTCAAACCAAGCTGTTAATACTGGTTATTAGCTCAGGGAAGGTAGGATAAAAAATGTCAATAGACCTAGTTTTTCCTTTGTATATTTCTTGAATGATGTAAGAAAATCAAGCCTGCCCTTGGTCAGACATTCTAGGTCTGCACTGCCCACTATGGTAGCCCCTAGTCATAGTCCTATGTGGCTGTTAAAAGTAATCATTAAAATTTTTAATTCTTCTGTCTCATTGGCTGTGTTTCAAGTTGCTCACAAGCCACGTGTGGCCAGTGGCTAACCTGTCAGACAGCAGAGATAGAAAATATCTTCATCCTCACAGAAACTTCTATTGGACAGTGCTGTTCTAGATTCTAACTGCTTATTCACCTTTTTCTTCCCCTCTAGCCAATCGGGCACTGAATTTTATCAATTCTACTTCTTAAAAATCTGTTAAATTCATTTTTTTAAAGAGTAATTTATTTATTTAGGTTTTTGGGGGGAGGGGTATAATTAAGTTCATTTATTTATTTAATTTTAGGGGTAGTGCTGGGGATTAAACCCAGGACCTTGTGCATGCTAAGCATGTGCTCTGCTGCTTGAGCTATACCCTCCCCCCATTCTTGCTCTACATCCCCACTAACTTGGTTCATCATTATTTCTCACCTGTACTCTCACCGCAGCCTCTTAGCTGTTCTCTTTGTCTTCAGCCCATAGGCCACCACTCCACGCTCTACTCTCTTACTAGTGTGATTTTTCTGCCGTGCGGGACATGTTTCTTCCTTCCGTTCTTCAAATCATTCACTGGCCAGGATGATGCTAGGTATTCTCACATGCCATTCAGGGTCCTCACCAACTTTTCTAACCTTATCACGCACCATCTCCCACATCCCTTGAGATTTGTGCTTTTGCAGAATGAATCACTTATAATTTCCCTAAACACTTAACACTTCTGTGCCTTCTTACATTCTGTTTCCTCTGCATGGTGAAAAACATCTGTATATTCTTCAAAACCAAGCTCAGCCCATAATCTGATTCTCGGAAGCCTTCACTGCCACCTGTCTGACCAGATAGAAATAACCATTTCTTTCTTCATGTTAGCATCTTCCATAAGTGAGCATGCAGGTTAGCTCTTGGCACCCTGTATTGAAATGCCCTGGTACGGGTCTCTCTCCTCAACTGGGTGATTGACTCCTTGAAGAATCTGGGTCTGATTCATCTCTGCATCCACAGGGCTGGCACTAGGCCTGGCATGTAGTGAGTGATAATCAGTTAGTATCAGTGATAGTTCAGTCTTCCCTGTTTTTCCTGCCCTCTCATAGCACTTGCTTCTTGTGCCAGTTACCTGACACTAGTCACAGGCTGCCTTGTTCACTGGGTACCTTTGACATGACTATAGTATTTCTTTCCCTCCTTCCCTCTGGATTCTGAGCTTCCTGAGGGTGGAGACGCTGCTTATTTTACCCCGTGACATCCATGTGGAGGACTGTTCCTTGCAGGCACTCAGCAAATGTGTATCTGGCTCTTGAGGCTGAATGCTGCTTATTTGCTTCCTTCTGAAAAACCTAATGGTTTTCAAAAGTATCTGATTTCTCAGACGCATACAGAGGAAATACAGTAGGAATTTATGCTCATGTGTTTCTTTCCACAGGCCTTGGATGAAGAGTATTTGAAAGTAGATGCTCAATTTGGAGGCGTTGATCAGAGAAAGATTTTCACCTTTGCAGAGAAGGTTAGTGTTCTCTTTCCTCTCTTTTCCTCTTTTGAGCCTCAGGGGTATGAGTTAAAGTCTCTCAAATGTGCTGGTCCCAGCAATCATATTGTGTGGTAGGTATTTTTCTCTTTGTTTTGCAGATGAGAAAACTGAGGATAGAGAGAATAAGAAGGTTGTCACCGTTAATGACTAAGCAGGAATTAGCACTGAGATCTGTCTGACTCAAAAGCCTGGGCTCTTGCTGCCACTAGGAAGCTGCCCCCAGACCTGTATTTGCTTCTTTCCTAACAGCTCAGTTTCCAGGGAAAGGAACCACCAGTCAGAACCATTGTTCTTTCCCAGAGCATGTGGTCCATATTGCTCTGGATCTTCCATAACCACTCATCTCTGAGATGAGGCTTAACAGGTTTAAAAGGAGGAAATCAGCACAAGCCCATGCTAGTTCTTCCCTGGGGAAGAACTCAAGTAAGTTGAAAAGGGCTATTGAGAAGTGGTTGGTATTTTTGAAGGCTTTTCAAAACCTCATATTGGCAAGAGTGTGGAAAAAACACTGCTGGTGGAAATGTAAATTCCTAGGGGGTGATTTGACGACTCTGAAATATTTCTACCCTTTGCCCTAATAATTATACAAATGTGTCCTCAAGGAATAATTTTAAAAGTACAACTTGAATTATGTATAAAAATATTTATCATGTTATCAATTTAAAGCAAATCTAGAAATAATCTTATATCCAGTGGCAAAGGATTGGTTAAATCCATGGTGATAAATTCTCAGAATGGAATATTATATAATATTTTTAAATGGTTGTTGGATATATTTAATGAATGGGGAAATGTTTACTAAGCAAGGGGTTTTTTTAATTACTTAAGTATTTCTCATTTTTCCATTTTATCTCCTCTATTAATTTTTTAATTGAGCCTTCTTTTATTATTCTAGCAGAGATATGGCCTATGGCCAGTTTTTATATGACTCAAAAGCTCTAAGAATGGTTTTCATATTTTTTAAGGGCTTTGAAACAAATGAAGAATATGCAATAGAGATCACATGTGGCCCACAAAGCCTACAGTATTTATTACATGACCCTTTCAAGAAAGTTTTGCCCAGCCCTGCACTAGAGATTACAACATCTATCTCTGTAATTTAGTAAAGTTTGTTAGATATTTTTACAACTTCCCAAAGATGCAAGAACGTACAACAGATTTACCCCACTTCATACCCTCTTGCCCTTTGTGCTATAGTAATATATTTTACTTTTACTTTTACGTATATTTTAAATCCCAAAGACTTGACTATAATGGTTTTTTAAACAGTCAATTTTCATGTATATTTACCCTTTCTGATGCTCTTGACTCCTTCCTGCTGTTCTGTGCCTCTGTGCTTCCATTTGGGATCATTTTCCTTCAGCCAAAAGACCCTCTTGTATTTTGGGATTACATTGCAGGTCTCATGGTAATGAGTCCTTTCAGCTCTTTTGTCCGAGAACTTTCTTTTGCTTTTGCTGGCTATAAAATTCTAGGTTTGCAGTTATTTTTCTTTTGCACTTTAAGGAGTTGTCCTGTTGTCTCTGGCTTTTATAGTTTCCATCGAAAAGTCACCTGTAAGTATCGTTTGTTTCTCCTTGGCAGATAATATATCTTTTCTCTGGCTGCTTTTTTTTTTTTTTTTTTTAAACAGAGGTACCAGGAATTGAACCCAGGACCTCCCATATGCTAAGCACACGCTCTACCACTGAGCTATACCCTCCCCTTCTCTGGCTGCTTTTAAGGTTTTCTCTGTCTTTGATTTTCAGCAATTTGGCTACAGTGTTTTTATTTATCCTGCTTGGATTTTGCTGAGCTTAAGTCTGTGGGTCAATGTTTTCATCAAATTTTGTAAATTTTCCTCTTTAACTGTCCCCTTATTTCCTTTAAATATTTCTTCTGCCCTCCTAGAGATGATCATATTGAGTGAAGTAAGTCAGAGAGAGAAAGACAAATATGATATCACTTATATATAGAATTGAAAAAAAAATGATACAAATTCTATTTACAAACCAAAAACAGACTCAAGGACGTAGAAAACAAATTGGTTACCAAAGGGGAAAGGACAGGGAGGGATAAATTAGGGGTTGGAGATTAACAGACACACATTACTATATATAAAATAGATAAACAAAACAACAAGGACCTACTGCATAGCACAGGGAACTGTATTCAATTTCTTATGATAACATATAATGGAAAAGAATCTGAAAAGAAAAAATATATACGTATGTATATGTATAACTGAATCACTTTGCTGTACACCTGAAACTAACATTGTAAATCAACTACACTTCAATTTAAAAAAATTTTTTTAAAGAATGAAAAGGAAAAAAAATGTCTTCTGTCCTTTCTCTCTCTCCTCTCCTGAGATGCTAATTTTACATAGATGAGACCTCTTAATCACGTCCCATGTGTCTCAGGGCCTGTTCTGTTCTTTTCCTTCCTTTGTTCCCTTTGTGCTTTAGTTTGGATATTATCTATTGACTTTTCTTCATGTTCATTAATCGTGTCTTCTGTTAAAGCCACCCAGCATCACGCTGTGCCATTTTAGAACTTCCATTTGATTCTTTCTTATAGATTCTTAATTCTCTTTTACAGTTCTCCATCTTTTCTCCCTTTTTTCCGTCTTTTCCTCTATTTCCTTTAGTGCACCAATCGTTATTATTTTGACGTCCTGATCTGCTTATTCCAATATCTGGATTGTTTGTGTGTCTGCTTTTACTTACTGTTTCCTCCGAACTATCAGTCACTTTTTTTCTACTTTCCATTTCTAGTACTTTTTTATTGTATCAGAGACATTGTAGATGTGCTGTAGAGACTCTGGATTGTGCTTACAGAGTGCTATGTCTTCTGTAGGCTGTTAAATTACTGACTTATCACCTTGATCCTGTCAGGGATTGGTTTTGGACTTTGTTAGAACAGATCTATTTCAATGTGCCTTAATTCCTATGATGTGGACCTTGTTCTCAGGTTGTGGCCTTTCTAGGGTCTCAAACTGAAATCTCAGGGTGCTCACAAAGCCTTCTCTGCTTTGATTGGATCTAAATTTCAACCTCTGTCTCCCCAGCACTGTGCAGCCTCTCCTCACACCTCTGCTCAGGTCTCCAGCCTCCCAGAGCTTGTTTTCTGCTGGGCTTCCTGATGTCTCTGAATGCACACACAGCTGTGAGTCAGTCAAGCACTCAATGGAGAATGTTGACTTAGATTTTTAGAGGGGGCTCCCTTCTCTCTAGAACGCTTCTCAAATCCTGGCCTCCTGGCAGCCCTGAACTCCAGTCTCTGTCTCCTCTGCTTAGTCAGACTGCTGCTCTCTGCTTGGTCTCTTTTTCTCAGTACTCAGTTTGAAAAAAATGCCATCAGGGAGCAAGCTAGGGTGGTGTGGGGTCACCCAACTTCCCTTCTCTTAAGATTTGTAGCCCTACACTGTACTTCCATCTTTTAGAATTGTTTATGGTGGTTGGGTGAATCCAGTAACCTCACAATGTAATACTAATAAAAAAAAACAGTAGGAGAAAAAAGCTTTGTTTATATTATGATTACCATTGAAAAGTTATATATTCAGTGGAGAAAAGATTGGAAGGAATATATCAAACTATTCAGTGGCTGGCTAAGTTAGATGAGATTGGGGCACCGAGGAGGATTTACACTAATACCTGTTTTTTTGTGTTTCTTTCTAACCCCTCAGTACCTCCCTGCACTTGGCTACTCAAAACGGGTCCATCTGATGAATCCTATGGTTCCAGGACTAACTGGCAGCAAAATGAGCTCTTCAGAAGAGGTAGGTTGCCAACTCTGACTTGAGTTGGGAAATCTTTAGCGAGAGATGAAGAAATTGAAGACTAGAAAGAACAGTAACTTGGCTAACTAGAATTCTCAAATATTTGAGCCATAAGGAATCTTAAGTTACCCAGTTAATTCCAGTGGTTCTTGAATATTGAAGGACCCAGGAAGCAGTCCTGATAGAAAGCAATCAATTTTAATACTTTTACTGCTACTGGTAAAAAACACAAGCAAAAGTAATGTCTTCACTCATATAACTGTGATAAAATTCAGCCTTGTTAGTGAGAAGGCTGTGATTGCGTTTCGCCAGTTAGCATCTTGATGCTTAGGGTGATGTTTCCTCTGCTCAGGGAAAGTACACCTCTGTTTTGATCACAGATAAAGGAATTAGTGGAACCCAAAGATGTAAAAAAATGTTAAATGCTGGGTTCCCATACATGGCTGATCTTCAGAATCACCTGGGGAACTTTTAAAAGAGAGAGAGAGTTGATTAGACCCTGTCCTTAGAGATGCTGGTAACGTGGCTCTGGGAAACAACTCAGGAATCTATTTTTTTTTCAAATCCTCGTAGTTGATTCTCATTGGATTCTTTTTTGGGCTCTCATTGAGCTCTCTTAAGTCTGATTTCTAGATCTTTGACTAGAAACTGGTAAATATAAGCATAGAAACTTTTTAAAGGAATAAACTCATTCCTTTTTCTTTCATTAAAATGCTCCACTTGTCAGTTGCTTCTCTGATAAGGTGTTATCACTCATCCTATTTGGTAACATTCACCATATCTTCATCCTGGAAACCAGTGCTAGCAGCAGTTCCCAGACGTGGCTGCATCAGCATCACTTTTTAAAATACAAATGCCTGGCCCAACCCCAGGAAATTCTGATGCATTAGGTTTGGGTGGAGCCCAGTAATTTATGTTTTTTTAAAGCACCCCAGGTGATTCACACCAGTCACATGTGGACCAGAGCTTGGTAACCACTGAACACAAAAATGAGCGTGAGCTCAGTCACTCTAAAATAAGAAACAAAGCCTGTTACCCTAAAAAGGAAAAACGGCTCTAAATAATACATACTACCTGGTGTTGGTGTTTGTTGTGGAATAGGTATCCTCACATGTTGCTGGTGGCAGTGTCACTTGGTGTACGCCTGTTAGAAGACCGTTTGGGGCCTAGCAGTTTTTGATAGCTTAAAGAAATAATCCTAGAGAAGGCAAAGGAATCTCTGCAAAGATGTTCATCATAGCATTGTGTATAATTTGTAAAAATCAGCTCATAATCTAACAGTTTAGAAATTGCTAAATAAATTATGGTGTCACTAATAATTGGGAATATAAAATAGCATGAAAATTACATATGAAGACTGCGTAGCCACTCAGAAGTACTTATGACATAGTCTCAAGTGAAAACATAAAGGGCATTTATTCTCCAGCTACAAATTTGTAACAATTCCATATGCTGCAACAAGGCCTGGGAAGAACAGAAAAAAAAAATTTCTCCTTTTAATTAAAAAAAATATTTTATTGTACAAATTTAATGCCTTTTCCATCTTATTTTCCCCCTTAACGAGGCATTGGGGATTGAACCCAGGACCTTGTGCATGCCAAGCATGTGCTCTACACCTGAGCTATAACCCCCACCCCCCAAAATTAAAATATTTTTATTTGTTGGGTGGCAGTATTGTGAGTGGTTCCTCACTCTGATTAATTCTGCTTTTGTTAAAGTTAATGTTTAAATCTTTGTTCAAAAAAATTAAAACACACAAATTAGTTGAGCATGTTTTCATTTTCAACCACAAGAGGTCCTCTTTTCCTCCTTGGCTTCTAGGAGTCCAAGATTGATCTCCTTGATCGGAAAGAGGATGTGAAGAAAAAACTGAAGAAGGCCTTCTGTGAGCCAGGGAACGTGGAGAACAATGGCGTTCTGTCCTTCATCAAGCACGTCCTCTTCCCCCTCAAGTCTGGTGAGGCACTCTCCATTTTTTCCTTGGAGGCCAGGCTGAAATAGCAAAACCAGTGCCATGATCATGCTTGTGGTTTATCACAGAGGCTTGCTCCAGGGGGTGGCTTTCCTGATTTCTCCGCTCTGATTTCTCATAACGTGTGATTGAAATGGAGATAACGTTGAGCTGTCTGTGTGTTTGTTACCAGGTTAGATTCTAAGTTGGGTGTCAGCATGGGTGGTAGATATGAAGGGGGCAGGCAGACATTGTCAGACCAGGGGAATCCAAAAGGGATGTAAGACACAGTCCTTCCCTTTGAGCTTGGATGCTAGCTGGGTGTACAACATTGCCACTCATCCAACTTAAAAACAATAAAGTACCGTATGATGAAGTTCAGAATATGTGGCAGAAACTACAAATACCCAGACATTTGGGCCAGGGATGCTGACTTGCCATTATCAGTGAGTTTGTTGGCATCGATCCTTTTTCTTACAGAGTTTGTGATCCTTCGAGATGAAAAATGGGGTGGAAACAAAACCTACACAGCTTACTTGGACCTGGAAAAGGACTTTGCTGATGAGGTAATACCAGAGGAGTAATCCCCACTGTGCTCATACTGACAAACCTCTCTGTGGTGGCCTAACCAGGTTTCTGGTTCTGTGCCACAGGGCTCTGTCATGATGCTCTCGAGGCTACAGATTTTGTTAAATTTTGTTAGATGAGGGTTCAGGTAGTCCACGGATTGGATTAGCAAGTGGCATAAAGCTAATATGCTGGTGTCTTCATCATTTTCGAAAGGACTTAACCTGGAACAAAGGACAAAACCCAGCAAGCTGAAGCATTTCAGGGACAGATGCAAAATCAAGGTTCAGAAAAGAGACATAACTATAAAAGGACCAAATAGAGGATAGTATTCATTTCGACAAACAGTTTAATGAAAGATTTACTAGGTGCCCATGTGTTAGGCACCATGCTAGGGGCTGGCATTACAAAGAGGATGCCATCCTCATGAAGCTCGTAGTCCAGAAGGAGAGGCAGACATGTAAACAAACATCATTTACTGCTTACTGTACAGTAAAGATGTATACATGGTCCAGAAGTAGAGCAGGAGGAAGTGACTAACTGGCTGTCTGGGAAAGCTTTGTGGAGGGGACAACATCCAGACTCTGTTTCACTTGAGGATGAGGTAGGTGTTCACAAGGAAATCTGTGAAGGAATACGTTGTGCACAAACGTGATAAGGTGGAACAGCGTGATGCATAAGGAATCACAAGTGGTTTGGTCTGACTGGTGTCTACAAGGTGAGGCGGGGCACCGTGGGGCAGATAGGCAGGGCCAGGTCATAGAGGGAAAGAGTGCTGACAGTATATGTGGGGAATAACATGGGGGGTCATGACTGACTCTGAATCTGGGCTGAATCAGCAATGTGACAGGGCTGTCAGAAATGGCAACGAGGTCTTGGCCTAAGTCATCAGAAATGTAGAGTCCAGAACCAGAGAGCTGACCGTCCGCTCAGTTCTCCATTGTTCCGAGTGCCTTCAGGGTTGTGCGTTCAGCCCTGGACTTCAGTTTTATGAGGTTAATTTGACAGTCTGAGGTGTGTTGGTGGGGAAAGGAAAGATGCCATGAGAGGAAACAGATTGCAAACCATGTTACAAAAGCACAGTTGAAAGAACCAGGCATGTTTAGCTGGGAAGCAAGGCTGTGTTCAGCCGTCCTTAAATGCACAAAGGGCTCTCCTGGGAGAGGAGTTGGCTTTCTTCCTGTGGCACCAGAGGGCTAAACCAGGACCACAGGTGGGGACCACCAGGAGGTTGAATTAGGCTTAGAACTTTCAATGACTGCAGTGTGGTGATGGACAGAGCTGTCTTACCTGCCCTTGTGTCCCCATCACTGAGGTGTTCGGGCAGAGGCCAGAGGATAGAGACAATGTTGTGTGAGGGTCTGAGCATCAAATCCAAGGAAAGGACTCAGTGACCTCTGAGGTCTGAGGGCCCTTAAGGCCCATATTTTGGATATTTGACAGCCATTCTCTGAAAGCCTTCCATCTGCAGTCTGAGGCAGGTCACAGAACCCACACTCCATTCCTCAGCTTTGTGAACAGTCCTTGGTGGGAATGATGAGAAGGCATAGAAGAAATGCTCTGGAGAAAGAGCCTGAGCAGCGTTCAGCAGCAGCACCTCCTGTGACGGTGGACGGGTTCTGTCCGCACTGACACAGCCGCCACTGGCCACGTGTGGCTGTTGAACCTCATAGCGTAACCAGCGCAACTGAGGAACTGAACTTTAATTTATGTTTAGATATCCACACTGAGGCTTGTGGCTACCATATTGGACAGAACAGGTCTAACATTTTACTGTTTTTAAAAATGAAACAAAATGACTATAACTCAATAAAAAAAAGTTTAAAAAAAAATGAAACATTCCCTGGGGTTTTGTACGTGGCAGAGCAGCTCCCTTGCTGCTGCAATCTATTAAGTCAATCAGTTTACAAGGGTCTGTTAAAAATTTTAATTAATTAAACATTCCCAAGGAAATGAAGGAGTAGCATCAGAAACAAAAATGTGGGCATTGTTTTATTACAGGCATTCATGCCTAAGGGATACCCCCTCAGAATATCTAGAATTCCTTTCAGGCCAGCTTTAGGGTGGAAAAGTGCTAGTCACCGGACACGAGAGGGAAAACGGACTTACTGGACTCCTACCATGTACTGGCACTCACTACTCACCACGTTCACCCACATTATGTGATTTAATTCTCATTCCGGCTCTAGGAGACATGGGTGGCATTATTTTCATTTTTTAAGTGAAGAATCCACAGCTCAGAGGGGTGAAGTGCGTGGTTCGGGGTCACCCAGCTGGCTGGGACGCTGACCCCAGGTGGTCTAGAGAGCCCTTGTTCTGTCTTCTTGCCCATCTGCTCTCCCTCAGGCTGTCTCCCACCTCTGGGTTGCCCCTGTGAACGCTCCTCTGCCTGTGGACAGCACTGGTTTATGCCACTACTCTGGGCATAAATGGAGGGACTAGAAGAGTTTGACTAATAAATGCATTCAGCCTCTAAAACCCCTCAAGTTAGTATGGAATTCAGGGTCCAAAGCCCTGGGTCTCAGACAAGTTAGATACCATAGAGCTTTCTCTGCTCTACCAGCTTCACAAGGTTGTCCAGAGGATCAAGTAAGACTCTGCCAGGAAAACACCCTCCATTCCTATACATGCATTATTCTTGGATTCAGGTGTCCTGTGGGCCTTTCAAGTCCCTTGTCTCACCTGGCCTTGTACCCTTGCAGGTTGTACACCCTGGAGACCTAAAGAATTCTGTGGAAGTCGCCCTGAACAAGTTGCTGGATCCCATCCGGGAAAAGTTTAATAACCCTGCACTAAAGAAACTGTCCAGCGCTGCCTACCCAGACCCTTCGAAGCAGAGTAAGGCCAGCTGGGGAGGGGAAGGGCCAGGGAGGGGTTGACATCATCAGGGTAGACAGCCTGTCGGTGGGTCTCAGAAAAGGCTCTGTCTTCAGCTGAGGCCCAAGAAGCCAGGGGGTCTACAGTGCAGGAATGTCACGCCCTGTTGACTCCTGGAATGGAACTCCAGTCTTCCTGATTTTGGTTTGGTTGGTCCTATGAAGTGATTACATCCTGCTCTACCAACACTGCTGAGCGCTGGCCTGAGCCATGTCCTGATCCTGTCACAAAATGCACCCTTTCAGTTAAGGAGACCAGTCGGGTTAGACCAAGAGGGTCACGCAGCTGCTCGGGCCGGGACTGCCCAGCTTCTTAGGGAAGCTCAGCTCTAGATTTGCCCAGTTACCTTCCACATGCTCCTGACTGGTTCTTAGTTGGCTATCCCTGTATCCATGATGCTGAGGTGTTAACATTGATGGTTTTGTGTGGCCCTCCCAGAAAAGACTCAGTACATACAAGCGGAATGCAGGAATGGCAGCATAGCTCCTGCCGGCCCCTCCCCTCCTCCAGCTCGACACACGAGGGAGAGAGGTGAAATCTGGCCTGTTGCTCCTCAAAGGCTGCCGGCTCTGTTTTGAAGGACGTGTAATTCAGTAGGTAGATTCTGGGGATTCCGCACTAAGTATCCTCATTTGGTGGGATCAGCAGCTGACCTGTCGTGGGAAGGAGGAGAGTTCTGAGCACTTGGATTCTTCTCATTCCCAGAGTCCGTTGCCAAAGGCCCTCCCAAGAATTCAGAACCAGAGGAGGTCATCCCATCCCGGCTGGATATCCGTGTGGGGAAAATCATCAGTGTGGACAAGGTATTCATTTTTCACCACATCCTAGAGAGGCAGACAGAGGTCAGGTTTGTCTGTTTCCATCTGGAGGAAACCTAGCCCGGGATGGGAAGTAACATCCCTGAGGTCATATTGCAAGTCAGAACTCGGGCATCTAATTTCAGGTGTCAGGCTTTTTTTCCCTTTGCTGTCTCTGGACCTTATGCAACCAAACAGAGCCAGGAACTCAGAGTTGGGAGGGGATGTTAGTCAGAGGGAACTTGTTTATCTGTCCAGTCCAGTCTGATGGACTCACCTGGTCTCTCCCAGCTTGTCTGGACTAGCTGCAGGCCTTATCTTGAATCAGCCCCTTGGTCCTTCCTTCTCCCTGCCCCGGAAAATGGTGAAGGGAGAAGGCCTTCCTTTTTCCCAGAGACAGAAGATTATGCAACCAGTGGCCTGGACCATTGGTGTGGGTTTCTTTCTCCCAGTATTGATTTGCTTTTCACCATATAGACCACCCACCAAACTACTTTGAAATAGCTGCTCATGCTCTTGTTTCAGGTGGTTAAACCAGCAGCTGTCCTCCCCAATCCTCCAGTCCGCCCGGGATTGAGTTTGACCTAAGGCAACACATTACCTAATGATAGCCACCCAGGCAGTTCAGGCCATTGTCTCTGCTAGAGATTCCTTCTGCCTCTAACACAAGTAATTAGGCTCCTGTTACTCAGATCTGCCTCTTCAGGGCCTCCTCATGTCTACTGTCTGGGACCTGGAGAATTAACTTCTGAGGGTTCCTCCTGAGCCTCTGTGGGGCATAGGCGTCCCCTTTCTGGAGTCACAGGGTTCACCAGCCCCATGATCCATTCCATTATGAGACTCTCCAGGACTGACATCTCTTGCCGGCAGCACCCAGATGCCGACAGCCTGTACGTGGAGAAGATTGATGTTGGGGAAGCTGAGCCACGGACGGTGGTGAGCGGCCTGGTGCAGTTTGTGCCCCAGGAGGAACTGCACGACAGGCTGGTGGTGGTGCTGTGCAATCTGAAGCCCCAGAAGATGAGAGGAGTCGAGTCCCAAGGCATGCTCCTGTGTGCTTCTCTGTGAGTGAGGGCTTGGGCGGGGCACAGGACCTGGGAAAGCCAAGAAGAGCAGGGAGTTAGCCCACGGCCACTCCATAGGCCAGGTGGGGGCCCTGAGAACACTACCTGAAAGATGAGGCATGGAGGAAGTATTTGTTGTGCAAGTACCATGGAGGAAGCAATTCACCTCAGGATAACTTTATTAAAAACAGAAATTGATGAGTTAAAGCTGTGTGCATACTCACATCTCACTACTAGTAAGAGGTGGAGCCGGGATTCAAGGCCAGTTCTGATTGGCTGTTAAGTCATACTTCCTCCCCTAAAAGCCCAGATTTTGGAATCTCTCCTGACATAGGATTTCAGTTTAGTCCCAGTTAACCCAGTGCTGGTGATATCCAAAGACGTACGTAGTACAGCAGTGAGAGACTGCTGGGGTCTGGCACTGGGGGTGCCCTAAATCCCGTGGGGGCCCCGAGGTAAAGGCTCCAATGCTTTGGCCTCCACAGCAGCTGGAGGCCTTCCATAGCCTCACTCTTTTCTTGTCCTGTGTGTCTTCCCAGAGAAGGGGTGAGCCGCCAGGTTGAGCCTCTGGACCCTCCTGCAGGCTCTGCTCCCGGGGAGCGAGTATTCGTGGAGGGCTATGAGAAGGGTCAACCAGATGAAGAGCTTAAGCCCAAGAAGAAAGTCTTTGAGAAGTTGCAGGTAAAAAACTCGCTTTTTCCCTCTTACCCAGGCCACCTGGACTGTGTCCCCAGACTGTTCTTACAGAATCTGCCCTTTTCCCAGCCGGGCCTTCCTGCATCAAAGCCCCTCTCTTCCTTCTTCATTCCAGACCTTTCTGACTGAGGCACCTAAGGAGCTTGAGGGCCCTCACACATACTGAGCACTGACAGATGATGTGAGGCACTGTGTGAAGGACTTGAGGTTTCCTCATTAGATCTTCAGTCTGTGATAGATTATCCCCATTTTACCTCACAGGATACCTGCGAAGGCCACCCAGGGTCACCATAAGTGATGAGGCCTGGCTCAGAGCCCTCCCAGGGTCCCTCCTGCCCACTCATTCTCTCTGCCCTGAGGGGCACTGACTTGCATGACCTGCCTCGAATTCATTCATTCATTCAGCAAACATGGAATCCCTAACATAAATGTCCGGCACTGTCCTAGCTACATCAATGAATAAGGCAGCAGAGATTCACTGTCCTTGTGGAATCACCACTACATGTGTGACTTTTTCTAGTTAATACCTTGTTTCCTCATTTAGACAAAGTGTTTCCGGGGGGGGCATTTAGAGTGGTGTCTACCTCTGTCCATCCTCCTGCAAATGGCAAATGGCTGTGTCTATTCCCTCTCCTAGTTTTCCACACTGGTTTATTGATTCCCTAATTTTTTTCTATAAAAATAAGTTTTGTTATATTTCTATAAAAATAGTTTTATAGCTATAAAAATAAGCTATAAAATAAATTTTCATGGTAGAAATGTCTAAAATGTAGGGGAAAACAAAGAAAATAAAATATCCATAGTCCTGCCACCTAGTGATACTGAAAAATGTCATTAGTGATTATTTCCTTCTAGACTTTTTCTATGCATAGTGATACTATATTTACAGTTTAAGTCATACCATATATTTATTCTGCTTTTTTAAAAATTTAACTTTATGCCTCAAAAATTTCCCCATCTTCTTAAATATTGAAAGGGTGGATCTTATAATACAGTATTGTATCATGACTATCAAATTTAACCAAAACCTGATTTGACATTGGGGTTGTTCTCCATTTTTCACTATTAGAATGCTACGATGGATGTCCTGGTACCTAGTTCTTTGTACTTATTTCTAATTATTTTCTTAAACTAAATCCCTAAAATGAACTTACCTTAGGCAAAAGAGAGGAATACCTTGACATGAAAGCTTTTCACAAACTGCTCTTAGAGAAATTGAGTCACTTTACTCTATTAGTAGTACCAGAGTCTTTGTTTTCTTGCCGTCTTGCCATCATCACTATAATCACTTTTTTTGGTTTATCTTGTCCAGACTGACTTTAAAATTTCTGAGGATTGCATCGCACAGTGGAAGCAAACCAACTTCATGACCAAGCTGGGGTCCATCTCCTGTAAATCGCTGAAAGGGGGGAACATCAGCTAGCCAGCCCAGCATCTTCCTCCCGTCTCTCATCCTGAGTCATCTGCTGTCTCCTTAATTTGCTCCCTCCATCACCCATTTACCCATCTCTCAGGACACTGAAGCAAGAGTTTGGTACAGGACCTCAGTAAGGGGCAGCTCAGCCTCCCCAGAATCCAGGATCATCCTGTCTGGCCACAGTGAGAGGCTGGCCTCCCAGGCAGTGATGAGGGCTAGGCAACACAGGGAGCTCAGCTCTGCCTTCTTTCCCTGGCAGCTGACTTGAGAAATCTGGTTTCAATATAACAACTCAGAAAAAGTTTATGCCACAATCCTCCTAATTGGAAAAATATTGGTTCCCCGTTTTCCTAGAGTTATCCCAGCAGTGGTGCCTCTGGCTGGGATCTCGTGCCTGAACTGGGCTAATTACAGCCTCTCCCCAACAGGAAACTGTGGGATTTGAAAAGGAAAGGGAAGGGAAAACAGAGAACCTAGTGGTCTACCAAGTGGTTGGCAGCTTTCCCCAGTGCCTGCCAACCCTGAGGCTTGGGGAGGAGGTGGGGAGTGGGACAGGATCTGCCCCAGGGCTCCTGGAATTTCCCTTGATCCTGCTAGGTGCCTAAGGCAGCTGTGTGTTAACATCAGAAGTAGGGTGGATGGCACAGCCTGGTTCTTCAGAGAGGGTGGAGTAATTCTCCATAAGGCATCTCAAGCATCACTGTTGTAAATTCAAATAAAATGTCTGAATAAGGGTGTCTGGATGGGACCTGTCTGTGAGCTGGACCATATCAGGAGAGAAGAATAGTGTATAGCAGCTTCTGGGCCCCTCACCCAGCCTAGGGTTGCTTGGATCTTGGACTTTTGACCCTGAAATGGGGGCAGGGGTAGACTAGGCTGGACGGCGGACACTCTGACTGTTCCTTTAGCAATGTTAAACAGAAGAGGCTCACTTTGGGGTCCAGAACATTTTCCCTTCTAAACGTGGGCCCAGACCACTGCCCTGTCCCTCCCCATTAAGAAGCAGCAGCCACAGCCAAGTTTTAATCATTTAATTAATTAACACCTTTGAATGAAACCCACACAGAGCTTTTCCATGTGTCTCACTCCAGCTTTGGGGCAGAGGAAATGGATTGTTTGTATAGACATATCAAAGACTCAAAAATTTAAAGAAATATATATATATATATACTTCTCTCTCTAACATTTTTATGGAAATTAAAAATCAGAGGCTTTTGGTCTCTCCATGTGCACTAGGTCAAGCTCATTTATCCCAGAGGACAAAGAAGGGTTGCCTCTTGGAGATTCCTTTCTCCATTGTACTCTGTCCCACCCAGTGGGGAAACAAGCTCAGAAGATTCTAATTGAAGATAAGGAGCTCAAATAACACGAGGAGGGGAGGGAAAGACACAAGGTGGGCTCCTTCCCACCTCCAGCAGCTCTAGGCTACTGCCAGGGCCTGGTGTTACAGAAGCTTTGGCCTGGTCCTGGTTCCCGGTTCCCAGGGGGTTGAGTCAGGAGCTCTGAGCTGAGCACTGCTTACTAACTGTCCTCTTTCCCCTACTCACTGGGCAGGTGCAGCGCATACCCAGCAGCAGCTCTCCATCACCCAAAGGGCAGAGAAGAACACTGGTTTATAATGACAGGAAGGAGAGACTAGTGAGAGCCAGAGCTACCTGGGTTCTCAGACCACATTCCCCCTGTCCCCAGCTCTTGTACTGGGAAGGGGTCAACCTCTCCTGGGTGGAGGAGAAGCAGCTAAAAGCGAGGTTCCACGCCAGGCTCAAGCCCCAGTCACTATTGAGAAAAGAGGATCAAGACAGAAGGGGTGGTCCTGGTGGCAGCCACGCTGCAGTGGAAGGAGGCACTAGGGCCACCCCCGTGGAGCCACTGGGGCCAGTGGGTAAGCCGGCTTACCTAGATAAGTGGCACAGGCTGAAAATGGAAAGGTCATTGAAATTCCTGGAGAAGGGATGAGTAGCAGAGGCTGATGTCTAGGGGGCAACCACCAGTCTGCCTGTGGGAGCAGAGTGCCCCCTCACTGACTAGGGGAAGAGTCTGGAACAGAATGTACCTTTGGCTTGCCATCCACATCACTCAGCATCAGCTCCCCCAGTGGAGCCACCTGTGCTGAAAGGACATGCACGGACCAGAGGAAAGAAAGGCCAGAGAATGAAACCCATAGGGCCAGGTCTGGGCCCACTGCCCAAATAAGCTCTTTCTTGCCAGACCCACCCCTGCATCCAGGTCCTCAGGACTTCTGCTGAGCTGAAAGGGACCTACCCAGCTTTGCCATGGACCATGGGCTTCTGCCTCTGAAGAGTCGTGCCCACCCACCCCAACCTGATGAAGTGAAATAGGGCCAAGTGCCCATTGAGATGACTCCCTACTCTGTTCTGCTCAGAGGACAGAGCGAACCTGTGGACCTCCCCTCTGGTTCTTTCTCCCCAATGCATCTGGGACCTGGCAGACTCCCACTTCCTGTTCCGGCGTGGAGCACCTGGCAGAACTGGAAGGCAGGAGGGTGGGTGGTGGTACATTGAGGCACAGGAAGGCTAACACCCCCACTACACCTTTTGTGCTTTGGAATTCCACAGCCCCACTTCTGCCTCCAGCCTGGAGAAGCCTGTGGGAATACAATGATTTGCCCACCTCCAAGAACTGAAAAAAAGGAGCAAAGTGGATCAGAGGAGAGGGACAGATCGGTCCCAGCCATGGGCTGGCTGCTGGGGACTGATGCTGCTGCCATGTAAACAGGCCCTCGGAATGTGGTTTCATGGGCCCTGGAGGATGGACATGCAGCCACTTTTCAAAAGTGCTTTGATTCTGGACTACAGTATGTGCATGATTTGGACATAAAAAAAGAAAAAATTTTAACTCAAGTGAGGTGTTCTGTTCCCAACTCTGTGGCCCTGAGGCCAGCAGGGGGCGCAGCCACCCACTCCCACCAGCTACCTCCTTCAAGATGAGGCTAAGGCCAAGACTGAGACTGCAGCTGCCAGAGATGAATCCACTCAGGAAAAGGCATGAGAGCTGGATGACTTGGAGGGCAGGATCAATACCAGGCTTGCATAAATATCGAAGGCCGTGGAGGTTAAGGCTGCAGGCGTCCTCTCTATTAGGTTAAGTGTCCACCGTTATCCTCTCATCCTTGGAGCCACTCAGGTCCCTGAGATTGTATTCCTGGGATGGGTCAGCAGTGCCAGCAAGGTGCCCAGTGGTCAGACCAACTCTTTCTGTGGGTCTGTGGGGGGAAAAGAGATACTCAACAAGGGGCCTCCCAGCTTGGTTTTGGCCACTAAGAGCCCAGGGCACATCCTCACCCCTCACTTTATTGACCATGCCAACAGCACTGGGCTAGACATTTCACAAATGTTCCCTCTGCCACTATAACATATCACTGCCCCACACATTACAGTGAGGAACTTGAGGCTAGCATGAGTAGATAAAATGGCAAAGTTGGAATTCAAACTTAGTAGGTCTGATTCCAAAGCTCCACACACCATGCTCCTTCACTGTAGCCCATCAGAGGTGACAGGTCACCCTTCCCAGGCACTGAGACCAGAAAAATCTGAAAGATCCAAAAGCAAATCCCTAGTGGCAGGACTTCTGATACCTATTTCCCATGACCAGTGATGGGACACACACCCTACTGCTGCTCACTGTACCTGAGCCGGGCTGGCCCAGCTTCTGCTCCTCTGGGCCCACCAGCTGCAGGACACCTCCATTCTTTGTCAGCTCCTCCTTAGTCCTGTCCTCTGCATGAGGGAGCCCGTTGGTAGGAGGAGCAGTAAGGGGCTCAGCCCGAGGAAAGCAGGGGGAGGCGGGTGGGGGGACTCCCCCAGAGGGCTTGCGGGCCACGGGCGGGGGAGCCTTAGGTGGCTTCTTTGGGGCCTGGGGTGGCCGTTGCTCTGAGATGCTCCGTAGTTCAGCTACCAGGTTCCGCTGGAGGTCAGCCTGGGCCTCAGGGGACACAGGCCGCTCCAGCTGCAGCTTCTTAGTGCCCTTGGAGAAGATGAAGCTGGCCGTAGAGGCAGGGGACCGTGGCTCTGCCTCAGGTGGTCCATTGGGCTGGGCACTCACAGGGCCCACGCTGGCCGCCAGACTGGAGGCCTTGAGTCGCACAGCAGCATGGAGCCCTGAGGAGGGGGCAGGTGCTGGGCTGGCCCGCCCTGACAGGGCCCTTCGTAGTGGCTTCTGGGGGGGTGATGGCCCTGTTGCTGGATTTGGAGCCACTGTGGGGGCGCCCACAGAGCGCAGCCGAACCATCTGCAGGAGTGAGGGCGTGACCAGGGGTGCACCAGCATCCTCCCTGGGGAGCCCCCCACCCTTGCTGCAGCCCACTGGTTCCTTTCGAGGGGCCTTGGCCAGAAGCCCTGTGACAGAACCAGCAGGAGGTGGGGCTGGTGGAGCTGGAGGAGGGTCTGGGGTATCACAGGGCTGGCTCTGGAAGGAGACAGTAGCTGAAGGGGGCTCCAAGGGTTGTGAAGGGCCTTCAGGCTCAGGGCCAGCCACAGAGAAAAAGGCCTCCTCGGGTGGAGGGAAGTCAGCCATGGAGAGGTCCTGCTCCTCTGGTGCAGGAGGTGGGGGTGGGGGCCAGTTGGGATCTTGAAGGGACTCCTCAGTAGTCTCTGGGGCAGACAGAGCCTCCTCAACCACCTCTGGCTTCTTAGTGGGTGGTGGGGGTGGATGATAAGATGGGGGTGGGGATGGTGGGGGTGACGGGGCTTTGGAGGCAACAGGAGATGCCTTAGGTGGGGTCAGGGATACCTGGGGAGTAGGGTGGGGACTCAGGACTGGCAGCAGTGGTAGAGATGGGCCCAGGGATCACAGCCAGGGCAGCTGGAGCAGGGTCAGCTTGGTTAGGGCTCTTGGGCTTTGAGGGAGGTGGGGAGAAGGGTGCAGGCACCTTGGGGTGAGGAGGTATGACGAACCTGTCACCCAGGGCGGTTGATGTGTGTGGACCAGAACGATCTGAGGGGGCTGGATCAGAGGAGGAGGAACAGAGAGACGTGAGAGAGGAGGACACAGAAGCCCCAGGAGATCGGAGGGAAGTGACACGCTCTGGTTTAGGGGGTTGGATCTTGCCTGGGGAAGCAGAAGCCCCTGCTAGACCCTTGGGAGGGAGGGTAGGGGTACCACTTTGGCTCGAGTATCCACTGGAGGGTGAGAGTGTCCGTTCTGGGGAGCGTGGGGGGCGCCGGGAACCAGCTGGAGACAAGCCAGGCACCCAGCCACCTGCTGAGTTGGATGGACAGGGTGCTGCCCCCATCCCTTCTGACCCGCCTGTGGTGGGCGGCCGGGGCAGCTGTGGCTGCTGCTTCCGCTCGGGCTTGGGGGGCAATCCCAAGGGCCCATCAGGTGCTGCTGAGCCACGCTGATGGAGCGAGTGGGTCCGGCGGGGAGGTGGTGGGGGCCGCTTCAGCTTACGTAGGGACACACTGCGGCCAGACAGCTGCCCACCACTCCGAATGCTGATGGTGTCCGAGGCCTCAGCAGTGCTGCCCCCACTGGGAGAGCCCCTCCCACTGCCCCCCTGGGGAGGGGGCACCACGCTATTGCTGGCCACAGAGCCCTCCGGCCGGCCCTCAGAGCCACCCTTAGAGGAGAGGGTGGAGCCGTCAGATACGATGGTCTCAGAGGACTGGGAGTGGCTCCAGTTGTCACTGGAGGAGGAAGGGTGGCGGCTGCGGGGCCTCGGGCTGGAGGCTGAGAAGAATCGGCCCAGTGAGCGGACAGAGGCTGGGCTGGCTGAGAGCAGGCTGCAGCGACTCAGTGTGCGCAGGCTGCAGCGGCCCAGGGCCACCACGTCCACTGTAGGTGGCAGCACAGCATGTGGGATCAGCTTCGACAAGTAGGTGGCCTGGGGCGAGATGGACATGGCCGGGCTCAGGGGTTCCGGCGGCCCTGCCCCTCCTGTCAGTCCGGGCACTGCTAGGGACATGGGCCGGGTCAGTGGCAAGGGACGGGCCCCCGTGGACCGGCCCACAAGGCTGTCATCCCGGTAGACACGGTCGATGTGGCGCTGTAGCATGGCCTCTGCCTCAGCACCAGCTTCTGCCTCTGCCTCCAGTGCCCGCAGGGACACCCTGGCCCCTGGCCCTGCGGCTACTCCCGCCGGGCGGCCATCCACTGTGGGGATGCGTACGGCCTCCCGTGGACCAGAAGGCCGAGGAGTACCTGGAGCCTCACGTTCGTTCCGCAGGCCTGGACCGGACAGGGAAGACGTGGGAGTCAGCAGAGGGGTTGGCCAGGGCTCCCCACCCAACACCTCCACATCGGGGGCTCACCGAGTTCCTTCTGCACATGCTGTGGCAGTCCCAGCACGGTGCTCCGCCGCTCCCGCCGCCGCCGCCCTGACTTTCCAGATGATTTGGGAAATGAGTCATGGGGTCGGAAGGTGGAGCCTAGGGGCCAGTCCAGAGGAGAGAAACTGTTAGAGCAGGTCTCGGGGCAAATTCTGCAGAGCGCTACTTCTATAGACTATTAAGAAGAGCTCTGCGAAAAAAGATTTCCACAGTCAAGTAAGCATGGGCAAAGCTAGGCTGGGCAAAGCTACAGACTTCTTTTCTGCAAGCCTTCTGGAAGGCTTTACTAGGTCTATAATGGTAATTTCCATTTGGCGAACACCTATTGTGTGTTAGCATGCTAAGCACTTGGCATTCATTCCAGTAAGGTAAGTATTCTATCCTCATTTTTATAGAACATCAAACAGAAGTACAGAGGTTAAGGGTTGGCCCAAGATCACACAGCTGTAAATAGTAACACTAGGCTCAAACCCAGGTTTCCCAACTCTTAACTGGCCTGCTTTTCAGTTAATGTTCATCATGAATCTCCAGGAGGACACAGGGTACTATATTTCCTGAATTCACTGAGTCACAGAGCCTTGGGAAACACTAGATTAGGAGGAAAAGGGGAAGCTGCAGGTGCTGGGACCCAGATGGTGGCCACCACCCCTCTCCCCTGTGCAAGAATCCCAGCTGGTAAGCAGACACCTTTGCGCTGGATCATCTCAGAGCGGATAGAGAGAGCGTCCTCTGCCGTGGAGCTCTCGGCCGTGAAGGACGTGGTCTGGCTGCAGAAGGAGATGCTATCTTCATCAGGCCCGGTCCGGGAGGACTGTTGGGGGAAGGATCAGGCCTTGGCCTCAGACCCAGAACCACCCTAGAGGTGTGAGTGGGGCTTACCCTTGCCTCCTCAGGCTCCCCTTTGGAAATTTCAACCCAGGTTCACCTCCCTTTCCTCCCACCCCCACGCCATTGTCACCTAGTACTGAGCAGGCATCAGCTAGAACAATCCTGGACCAGCCCTCAGGGGGCATCTAGTCTAGCCCTTCATGATACAGAAAGGAAACAGTTCCAGAAGGCTGCAAAGACAAACTTGCCTGAGATCACCAGGGAGGGAAGGGTAGAGTCAGGACTGAGCTGGGGGCAGGGCTCACCTGGATGCTCTGGGTGTCTCCATGGTCCCAAGCACCCTTGTTCAATTTCTGTTTTTCTGGAAGACACCAGAAAGCTGTACTGAGCAAGGCACCAGACCTTAGGAGCTGAGAGCAGCGCTGGAGGGGAGGAGGCAGAAGTTACCTTGGTGCTGTAGGGAACGGAGCCCCTCCTGGGCCTGCGTGTGCAGCTCTTCCAGGTGAGGTGGTCGCCCACTGGGGAAGAAGACATTATCCTGGTGCTCATCCACTACAGACACTGGCCCCTGGCCAGGCCCTACACTTAGACGTTTGTCACTCTCAGCCTTGGCAGAACCTGGTGGGATGGAGGAGGAAGGAAAGTGAGGCCCAAAGGCATCTGGGCCCTGGGGATGCACAGGCCCCACAACAAGGGCACCCACAGTCCCCAGACTGCACAGGGCACCTGCACATACATGCAACACCCACTTCCCAGTCTACTCAGGACACAGTTCTAGGGTATACATTCAACACACACAACTACATCCAAGGGTACATTTATCTGAGCACCACACCCCACAAAGGGTACCATACCCAGGGCCCATATGCCCATCAGATATGCACACAAGACCCCCAGGCTTCAATATGTATACAAACAAACAGCATCCAAGTATAACCACATCTGTGTACCCGCACCAGAGCACTCCCAGCCCCCAGGTGTACACACGATACCCACAATCCCCATTCTGTACAGACGCAAACAATAGCCAAATATACACACAACTGTCACTCAGGGCCCCATGCAAGGAACCCCAGTGTACACAGAGCCCATAACAAATACATTCCTCTTGTCTCCAGATCCCGAAAACTTTACAGGAAAACAACCCATCTTTTTGTACACCCCCTTGGCCCAGGTCCAAGAAAAAGACACCATGGGACACTAGGAATGGGTGGGCACTAGCAAGGGTCATACCCAGATTCCCAGGAAGTCCTGGGGTATGGACCAAACCAAGGATATGGTCTCTTGGGTCCCCTACTCACCCATGTGGCTGTCCCTTAGTGGAAGGATAGGCAGGGGAGGGGAGAAAAGGGATCTGGGCCCCTCCACTCCCAGATGAGGCAGCCCCAGCCTCTCTTGGGGGAACAGTCCCAGGCATCCCCCTCTCCTGGAGGCCCAGGCCCCTGGCGCAGAGGAGCCAAGAGATCCATTACAAAGGATCTTATTACAGGCCCCGCCCATGGAGGAGCTGGTCATCCAACCCTAGGAATAGGGGGCTGTGTCAGCACTTTGCAGCTCCAGCCCCCCTTTAAATGGAACCCACAGCATAAGCAAAAGCTCTGGGAGGGTCATGTGACCTTGGCAGTACCTTGTAGAAGGACAGAAACAAAACAAGCCCTTTAAAGGGCCACGCCCCAAGATCCGGGTCTTCAGCTGACACCTGGCCTGCCCTGTCCTCGGTCCTCAGCCCATTCTTCAACAGCCAAGCTCCTGCCCAGGGAATCCTCAGGAATCCCACAAAGTCAGAGCTAGGAGGTTTCTCAGGGACCATCTCCCTAATCTCATGAATTTACAGCTCCAAAAACAAGCATAAAGTTCTTGCTTAAGGTCACCCAGCAAATCGGAGTCAGAACCAGGACTAAACCCGAGGTTTCCACTCAACCTGGGGGTCCTCTGACCCCCACATCTTACTCCAGGCCTGAAAGCCCAGTTCCTAGAAGGAAGCTGGCATAGGCCCCTCCCACCAAAATTTCACCCCCAGGTCTCTAGACATGTGTTTGCTTATCTGCTCCACCCCCAACTTCCAGGGGTACTACTTTCCTCTCTACTCTGCTCCCCACATCCCATCCTCCCCACACACTGAGCTGACTTGGAAGGGGGTCCCCTACCTCTTGGAACTGAGGTACTGGAATGTATTCAGTAAAGTGTGGGTACCCCTGGAGGAAAGCAGTCCTGCCGGAGGACTGCGGGCTTCAAGGTCAGACACCTGGAGCCATCCTCCAAACAAGAAAAGATCAGACAAAGGCAGTGGGAAAGCAGCTGGACAAAGGCACCACCGCGGACAGGAGTCTGGCCTCATTACTGGCCCCCATCCCCCACCCCCTTACCTTCCCCGGCCTTGATCCCCCATTCTACAGAAGAGTCTGGCAAATGGGGGTGTCAGGGATACCTCATCTTCCCCCCAGCCACACCCACTCACCCTTCTTCTTGAAAAGGCCGAGGAGCGCCGGGAGGTGGCGGCCCAGGAACACCACCATGACTGCGGGCGCCACTCGGCTCGTCCCCTACTTCGACCTCTCCAGAACGCCGGGTGACGCCTTCACCATGACCCAGCGCGAAGGGGATGAGTCTGCGACCAGCTGCAGAGCGCCGGCTCCAGGCAGACGAGGGGGAGGGGCTGCTCTCCAGGTCCTCCTCCCACCTTCAGCGCTGATCCCGCCCATCCACCGACCCCGCCCCTCGAGTGTCCTGCATGGGCACAAACCCTCCCAGACTCCGACAGGGAAACTGAGGCCCAGAGTCTCTGGAGAACCTCTAGGAGTTTCAAAGATATAATTCCAGGGGCAACCCACTACCCCTGTGCCTGAGTCCTTTTCTAAGCAGTCCAAAGCTAAGGCAGGGGTCCCAGCTGCCAGATGGTAGGTGGAAAAGCTACTAGACTAGACTTGGCAAGGTGCCCACCCCTGCTGTCCTCCTGGCTGGTGAGGATGATTCCCTGGGGAAGGAGCTCAGAGCATGGATCAGTCAGGCAGAAGCCCAGGACTCCTGGCGGGGATGGCAAGGCCACTGGCAGAGGTCCCTGGAGGCGTAGAAGCCAGCCCAGGACACAGTGCTGGCTGGGAAGCCAAGGAGATGCCCAGAGTAGAATCACAGTGGCTGGTGCTAATAACCCCTCATGTGTAGGTGCAGCCCCAGATTTTCCAAAGGATTATTTTCCCACTTTGGTAATGTGTAAACTCTCCAAGGTCACACAACACAGACAGGCCTTCAGTGCAGACCTCATGCTCCTCCAGCCCAGGATTCTTCCCATTGGCCTCATTCTGTGACTCAGTGACTCTGTTGGATCACCAGGCAGAGAGAGCAGAATGAGCCAAGAAACAGCTCAGAGATGAGGGCAGTAAGACTGGGGCCAGGAGGAATGTACTTGGAGGGAAGTCAGGCCCAGGTTCAAATCCAGCTCCATCACACACAAGTCATGACTTCGTATGGAAACAAGGCCAATAACTCCTCTATAAGACTATTGTATCCATTCATTTAATCAGCAAATATTTATTAAATTAGTACTAAGGGCTACAGCTAACGGAGAGCTTTCATCTTGTTCACCAGTATATCCCTAGTGTCTAAATCAGTGTCTGGCAAATACTATGTGTTCAATAAATATCTGATGAATACATGAATTAGATAAACCAGCAAAATAATTTTATATAGTGAGGGCTGAGGAGCTGTGACAGGAAGTAGGTGCCGTTAGGGGACATCAAAGAAAGGCCACTGGAACTGAGACCCGAGAAGGAGCCAGCTAGGGCAAGTGCTGGGCACAGAGCTTTCTAGAAAGAGGCAGCAATGTAAAGGCCTTGAGGCAGGCGTGGTGGGCTTCCCAGAACAGAGAGGAGGCCAGTGTGGCTGGAACGTGGTAAGCAAAGGAGAGAATGGCAGGACATGAGAAGAGGCAGGAGGTAGGACAGGTAGGGCCTTGGCAGAGTCTGGATTTTATTTAAAGAAACCCAGGAGGTCAATATTGAAGGTTAAGCTGGGTATTGACAGTGTTAAAAGAGATTCCCCCTGGCAACTCCGAAGAGTAGCTGAGACGGTGGACGAGAAGGCCTGTGAACTGGAAGTGCTGTCCCCCAAGCTCACCTGAGGACACCCCTCTCTCACAGCGCCCTTCTCTCTCCGAGTCCCTAGCGATCTAAGAATTTGCAGTGGCTCCCACCCTGCAAGACCGTTCTGCTGGTCCTTCCCCGTTGCTGAGCCACTTCTCAGGGACCACTCATGCAGACAACCGAGCCCTGGCTCTCTGGAAAAAATTCTGTGGGGCTGGATGGTATATATCCACAGATCATTGAAATCTAAACACCACTCCTAAGAAGTAGGCACTTTTATCTTCATTTTGCAGATTAGGAAATGGAGACCAGAGAGAGCAAGCATTATAAAGCTGGTAAATAGGGGGGCAACATTTGAAATCAAGACCCACTTAAAACCAAAAGCCATGTTCTGTCCACTGTGACAGCTACAAACCTGATCTCTCCTCTGAAGAAGGGTTGAATGACCCTATATCATCCCTGCAAATTTGAGGCTTCTTGACCACATTGTCCCCTCTTCCCTCCTTCGTAGGCCAGACTCATCCACCCTTCTTATTAGTCCCACTCAAATGGAAAAGAACAGTAGACTGACACTTGTAGGCTGATTAATTCATGCCAGGCACTTTGCCAGGAACTGGTGGAAGGCAGTCTCTGCCCTCACAGATCTGACAACAGCACTTCGAGGTGGGTACTCGAAGATATTCTCCTGGTAACTGACCATGGGTCTATGAGGCTCAGAGAGCTGGGTGACTTCCCACGCTGTGGCTGGCCCCAAAAGTGGAGCCTTCAACCATGCAGGATACAGCCATGCTCAGCTTACCTCAACCAGCGAAACTAAGGGCTGAGCTCTGCTAAGTCAGGGGACGGGGAACATCAGCTCAAGGTCCCAGGTCCATAGCAGGCAGTCAGGGCCACAGCTGCAAATTCCCCAGCCAGATCCAAGGCTCTCACACTTGATAACATCTGGTTCCCCCAGCAACACCCTTCCCCCTACCCACCCAAGGCTAGGCCAGAGCCAGGCCCTCTCTGAGACACCCCAGGCACAGGTGTACACACCTGTGGCATGTCTGGGGGAGAGGCTCAGCAACTGGAGTCTCAGGTGGAGGGCAGGCACCTCACAAAGAAACTAAGGCCCAGAGAGCAGGAGGACCTTGCCCAAGGCCACATGGAGTGTTCCAGGACTTCCTGCCCGGCAAAGTCCAGAGGTGCAGCCTGGCGCTGAGGCTCACCACGCAGCTGCAGCCTCAGCCTCCCCTACCTGCGCTGGGGAGGAGGCTTCAGGATCAGAGAACACACCTTGCCCACCTCCCCGGCCACACCTCCCAAGGCACAGGGCACATCAGGAAGCACATCTGCAAGTTCAGGAGCTTAGCGACAGCTCCCCAGCAGAGATGTGCGGCACACACCTCCAAAATGTCCCACTGGGCCATCCCTCCAGGCGGGTGCTCTCACGGTCACGTCCACAAAGCACACCCACGTCTCCCTAGTCCACGTCCTCCATGCACATGAGTGCCAATGCACGGACGCACACAGGGCCCTGCTGGGTGGCTATGTGTACAT